TTTATAAAAATTCGTTATCTAAATAGAAACCGCCTCGTTACTTCAAAAAGAAAGGCATGTGAAAAAAATTAAAAAATGGATAAAGTCAAAGAAAATTAAAACGTAAGTAAAAAGTATAAATAAAATATATAGTGTACAGTTGAAATTCTCCTAATTTCATAACTTATTTTTTTAATGTAGCTATTCTAAATATTTACGATTCTTTTAAAAATTATATTCTCTTGAATTTAAATATCTATATGACCTATATCTATATACGCTTGATAATATCCTGAAAGACTAAAATCTTCAAACGAAATTGGCTGCTTTGGAAAGGGTTAATGCATACTTCTTGGTTTCAAAAATCTGAATTTATTTTTTCACCTCTACAAATACAAAAATTTATCTGTAACCTCACTGGAATGAAAAACTCCTTTTACCCATATTTTATCTGGAAAATATTTCAATTACTCACAAAATGTACACTAAATTAAATTTACAAAACAAAAAATCATACATTAAAACATAAACTTAGCTACAACTAGAAACAATTTTCCGAAAAGTGTTGAAAATTGACAGCCTTGTGTATGTAAAAAAGTGTATACAAACATATCCCGATTCGAATGTGTTAAGAATTTATATTAGTAAGAAACAATAATCGTTTGTATTTGGATATTAGTATGTAAATCTATAAATATAATTCTCATCCTTGTAGGGAACGTAAAAGACGCAGATTCTTATGCGACTGGAATTTTAATGAATTTTACCTGTTCTTGAAAGTTTAGCGTATATCTTGCTCAGAGATACGTAATTACTATTTGAGTCCTGGCTGGTTGTAGTTTTTATTCATAGCGAGATATAATTATGTAGATGACTATCGAGGTAGTCGTAAAAAAATAATGATTAAATTGTTATGTATACATTACTGCATTTTAGAAATGTTAAACATGAAAATACTATTCGTCAGTAAACTTGTTTCTTCACTCTTCTAGGTAGTTATGCGATTCAATTACATGTTTGATTTATTAATAAGTTGTGGTTTTTTAGATAGGTTGCAGTTCAAATTTCTTAATCACAGAGACGTTTTTAAGGATGGGTCCAGGACTCCGGGTTCTGATAGGGCCCCCGAAAAGTCTAAACTCTCACTGCATTAATGGTCTTTTTTTTTTCTTTTTTTTTTTTTAAATTCTAACTCCAACTATTCCTGATCCAACTTTTTTTAAAGTTTTATTCGGAGCTGGAGCCCTCTGAAGCCCATAATACTCTTTTTTTCTTTTCTTTTTTTTACATTGTCGGTCGAATTGGTACCTCCCGCAGAGTTATTACTCAATGAAAATGGATTCAAGGGATAGAGCATTCTCCTCCGAATGAGGTGGACCTTGTTCGAATCCCAGTGATGGCTGGCAGATATGAATTCCACACTTGGCTCACACCGACCACTGTGCTGGCTTAAAATATCCTCAGTGGTAGATGGATCATGTGTTACAGTCTCCTTGCTGTCAGACTAACCGTAGGAGGCTTTCGTGGTTTTCCTGTCCATGTAGCTCAAATGTGGGTTAGTTCCAGCTAAACGCCCTCCACGAAGGGCAGAAATTTCTTCCAATACTTGATCCTGGAGTTCTCGTCTTCTGCATTGGGTTCAAAATGACAAGGCTACGGAGTTGAACGTTAGTAGTCGTAAACTCAAAATTGAGGCAGTTTTTCAACGGCGATTATAAAAAATTAAAAAAAACTAATAATCAAATTGCATTTTCTTGTATTCTTTCTAACTCCTTGCATATTTTCTTCACGCCTTTATGATTTCATGTTTCTTAGTCTTATAGATTTTGAACAGCAAAGCAAAATGTAACGTAAAGAAAAAAAATTGAAAAAAAAGTTCGCAAAAAAATCATTTAAAATTGCAAATAACATATACATATATTCAAAATTTATATTAAAAGAAGGAAAGAAAAATTATTAGGACAATTAAGCATAAATGACACGCATAAAATGGGGGAAAACAATTATCTCGATGACATTGACATTGAAGACATCCAAACATTGACATTTCATTTCGAATTTTTTTGTCACTCATGATAGTTAATGGTCGTAGGGAACGTTCTTTCTCCTGACCAAAATTAATAAAAAATGAATTAAGAAATAGTATGACTCAAAAAAATATTGAGTCATTTATTTGTCAATTATGAGCATTGAATATGATGTCTTACAGGAAATTGATTTTGATGATGTGATAGAAGACTTCGCTTCTCAAAAAGCGCGAAAAGTATTGTTACCTTAAATTTTCAATAAAAATATTGCATATAAGCTTTTATAAGTATTTTAGATGTTTTTTACTCTTAAAATAAAATAAATTTTAAAAATTTTCAAAATTAAGTTTTTTTTCTCTAAATTTACTTATAAAAGGCCCCAAAATAATGACAGACCCGGGCCCCTGTGAACATAAAAATGACTCTGGTTAATTAAAAAAAAATTTTTTAAAGTAGTGTTTACGATAATTTTAAACATATTAACGGACATCTGGAAGTCACTATGATTATGATGCTTAAGCCAAATGATATTGATTTTAATTTTGAGTTGTTGTTTTTTTCGAAATATTTAACTTTTTTTATTCAACTTAGATTATTTTTTGTTTATGTATTTTATTGTGACCGTGATATATTTTTCTTTGTGAACCTGACAACTTCGATTGTTGTTGTTGTTGTTGACGTATGCCTGTCTGTTTAGTCAGAGGGCGTGCGATTGTTCTTGTTTTCCAGTGGCGTCATCTATGGCCAAGAATTCGATTTCTGCCACACCATACGCCACACCCGTTTATAGGGCGGACTCATTTATACATCCATGCATTCATCCACAGATCGTAATTTTAACTGAATCAGAGAACTATCGCTCTCCAATCCAGTACCCCCAGAGGTATTGATTTGTTATGGGAACATGGAGGACTTTTGCGACTCGACAGATTTAACGTGCATCAGTCACTTTACTACACGGGGAATCTTCGGCCGACGGGGTTCGAACCCAAGAACTATCGGACATAGGCCCAGCGCCATACCGACCAGGCTATCCCGGCCGATTCACTACATTCATATATAGATTGTTTATGTTCCTCATGACTTCGTGCCTGTCTTTGTGTTAATTAAGAAGTATTTAGTGATTGAATTGAAATCTTTCTGAAAGAATATAAAATATGTCTCCTAAGAGAATTGATTCTTGATGGGCTTGGCTTATTCGAAACAGAATGGAAATAAAAGTTGCTAACGTAAACAAAAGCCACGGTTCAATAACCAATCAGGATCGAGATACGATACCCACACTACGTCACTCGCAGGCATCCCATTAAATTTTATGTAAAGCAAACTCAAAAAATAAAGTTAAATATTCATTTACGTTGCGTCATAACGAGTTAGAATAGAGGCCCCACAGATTATTGTTGGCATTGTCTCAGTTTTTGATTTTCAGGCCCTGCTATAAATAGATCTTAACTAATCATTTATTGTGATTATGGGAATTTCCTGTTAATTCATCTCGAATTATTTCATTAATTCCTTTGTTCTTAAAAGAGAACAGAACACTTGATAGACCCTATCTTTTTATTTAACTTGAACCGCTATTTTTTTCAATAATACGTTAAATGAAATCCGATTGTATGATTATTTATTACCAAATCATTCGATTTTTTTTTCTAGGCACTCAGTCATTTAACTATTACAATTATATGTAAGTTTTTGTCTAGCCAGTTCATTCAGAACAGCTTTGCTTGCAGTGCGATCTATTCAAAAAGTAAACACAAATGTCATTTTTTAAACGGCATATGTAGTTGTATCTTGTTTCCAACTGAGATAACAATTCAAAGAAAAATATGAATCATAAAGTAAAATAATAAAATAAGTCTGAAAAATATAAAACTGGTTTATTTTTCTAGTAGAAGCGCATTTTTTGAATTATATCAGAAAATGATGAAAATTTCATTTGGTGATAAAGTTTATATGCTTCATTTACGAAACAATTGTAAAATGTCCTGATGAGAGGTACAGAGCTTTAAACATTCTAACTTGTCGGAAAGTGATCGAAATATTTCGATTAAAGATAAATTCTGTTCGGTAATAAAGGCCTCAATAAGTGCTTTTCTTTTTAAGAATTGTATTGTAAGATAAGAATATTTTCTCCTTCAAAATTCACAAATTTTCCTCTTTTAGCACAGTAAGTAACAATATACCTGTTTTGGGAACATGTCCATTAATAAAAAGTAGTAGCTTAATTATTACAGTCTCAACATTTATTTCGGAAAGTTAAGGAAGTTCTCCACAATATATTATTAATAATGCCTGTATATTTATACAGATCTGAAATCAGTCAATGTGATTTGTTTACCTGTTAATCAACATTAGGTGGTAGCTAATAAAAGAAAGTATCCACTTTGTTTCAACACAAATGTTCTATCCCTTTTTTCTTAATGGCAATTTTTTTATTTTTTTCGTTGCAGCAATATGTTGTAACGTATCTTGGCAGGGAATGAGTAATATAACAGAATTTAATAATAGAAATAAATTTGTTTTTTTTAATAAAAATTTAGCTGTACTATTTGATAAAATATTTAAAAGCGGTGTATTATGTTAGAAATGTTTTCGTCAAAAATAAGGCCTCACAAAAAAAATTTTTACTCCTTGTCGTCGCATGTGTATTGATATTGATAATGATTCAAAAGTCAAAATAATTCAATCAGCTTTCAATAAATTTAATAAAATTATTTAATAATTTAATGAAATATTTGAAAGTGATGAATTCTGTTAGAAATGTTTTCGTCAAAGAAAAGGCATCTCAAAAAAATTTATTTCTCCTAGTCGTTGCATGCGTATCGATATTGATAATAATTCGAAAGTCAAAATAATTCCATCGGCTTTCAACACTTTCATTTTTGTGTTTCCATCTTCTCAACCACGCCCCAAATTGAACAAATGATAGTCCAAACTGACACAAACAAATCTGACGTCATTACATACGAGTTGAGAGTAGGAAAAGCAGCGTTTCGATCTCTGCAGTCACTGCTTTTTGCCGCCGAATCTCTTCCCACAACCCACATTTTTGGGCGGAAGAATCGATTAGAGTCGGGTGCCGGCAGGTACCACAACTAGTTTGCATACTGTTGGTAAAAATAATCACTTATTTGATATTTAATAAGCATATTTCTATCTACGATGTGGAAATTTTATTCATATTATTTTAAGTAAAGTAAAAATGTGCCTCTGAGTTGATTTAGCTTAACTATTATTTTTGTTAACTTTAGTCTTGTAGTTCTGAATTGTAAGCTTAGTATCAAACGTTACATGAAATTTTTATAGCTTAGTAGAATTCAGAAAAGTGCAATTGTTTTTTTTATGTATATATATGTTTGTTTATATTGTTTTTGAGTAATCGATGTGGTAACTTCATCTGATTACTTATACGTGCTTGTGCTAATGTATGTTCATTTATTAGAACATTCTTTTGCGATGTTAAGTTGATAAGAAAAATGATTATCGTACATATTTTGTCAACAAAATCTCAATTTTAATCCTAATTGTATTTTTAATCTTTTAATTCCGCAGTCTCTTAATTCCACAAGCAAACATTTGTCATAAACTACTGACAACTGTATATTTCCCAACATACTATCAAGTTAGAATTTAATCTTACATTTTTCTTACTAAAACTTTTCAGGAATTCATTAATGATACTTATTATTTTTTTTAAGTGTTTATCAATTGCTCTTGGTTGAATAGTAATTTATAGAGTAAAACTTGGTTTACTAAATTAAGTTTGTGTTTTTATGATCTTTTGTTTACAAATAAGTGAATATTTTCTTAAAAATTGCAGACACAAATGGCTATCAAAATGAAGAAATCATGTTTTTTGGGTTTTATCAGCAAGTTAATTCTGAATTAAATGACCTGCTCTTATTTAAAAGGGTATTTTTACTAAAATTTTATTATTAAAAATTTTAATAAAAATTAAGCAAATTAAAATTGGCATCAAGTGTCATTTTTTGAGGTAGTCATCTTGATTTCTATCAAAACATTTAAACATTAAAATTAAAATAAAGAATGTATCTTTGTCTAGAAAATTAATTTAATTAACTTGCTATATTAATTTTACTTTTGAAAAATATTTATAAGCTTATTTTCTATACATTATAGTATGAGTGCAGGCAAACAACTAATTTTGGCTGAAAGTTATTAACATTTAGAAAAAGGTATTATATGTGCTAAAAATAAAAAATTATAGTAGCAGAGGTTTTTAAATATTAAAATAATGGCTTAAAGTAACACGATTATGCCTTTAAAGAAAACTAGAATGAAATATTCAAGATCATTCTATGACTGAGACTACCCTTCACATTTTAAGTAAAAATTCCTAGTCATCTTAGTAACAAAATTTCATTCCTGCACTTGCTAAAGATGACATCCAAAATATATTTGCATTTAAAATTAATCCTGATTTAAATGTGTAAAAATCAAATCCTCTGAATTAACTTTCTGTGTTAGATGAGCTTTAAATTGGTCTATGTATTTATTTTTAGAATATAAAAGAAAAATTTTAACTTCTGTCATAGGATTTCTGTCATTTAATTTTTATTTTATAATTCATGTAAATTTTGCATGTTTTTAAATTGTATTTTTGTAGTTTGCTTTCAAAGATATAAGCAGACGTAGATAAAATAAAAACCTTTCTGCAAATGCGAAACTTTAATTAAAAACATTCTTTAAGAAATTTATTGGCTCATGTAACTAGTTTCAACCCTTTAATTTTTTGTGTAAATAAAATCTTTCTTTTCTTCTATTCAGGAACTGAAGGCAGCAAGCCCTGCAGTTATGGCTGAAGCTCATGTTGCTGTTGCTTTTAGTTTCGCCATTACTCATGAAGGAGTTAACATTAATTATGATAAAGAAGTTTTAAGCCTTGTTTGGAACAGTGGAGTTAGATCATGGAAGAAAAGATTTGCCCGCTTTATGGTAAGTTACTTTAAATGAAGGATAAATCATCTCAAATTTTTTTGAAATATCTATAATAGCATTATCTTATGTAATACTTATACCTTAATATTTTTCATTTTCTGAGTAATATTGAAGAATTTTTATTAATGTCTAGGAAGCCCTTATCCAAACATGCCTGCTAAAATTGTCGCCAAAAAATTTTAAAATCATTTTTTAACATTTTTTTGCAACAATTTTAGTTAAATAAAAGTAATGTTGTGAAAAGTAGTTGACATATTTAGATCAAAGCTTTGATGTTGCAAACAATGAAAATTCTTAGAAATAGATTAGTACTTAAATATTACTCTACAAAGTCTTAGATTATCCAACAAAATTATTAACAGAAATATCATCAGGATATTATTATTTTTTAGAAGAATTTCTTCCAATTAATTAGTTTGTAACCAATCTCCATAAAGTTGTATATGAAATATATTTAGTTAAAATTCAAATAATAAATAAAAAAACATTTGGCAGAAAATGTATTTTAATATTTTTATAAAGTGCAAAAAAGCATTTTCATATAAATTTCATAAATGGAAATTGTTTTAAAATATGTTATTTTTGGTCCATGATATTTCAAGCCCGTTGTCGCTTTGTTCCCGTTACTAATTCAATTTGTCGATTTTGATATTGATGTATTATATTTATGTGCATCATCTTTATTATTACAGTGGTTGTGTTTTAACAGACCTAAATATATATATATATATATTTTTTTGGTTTAATAAATTATTTATTATTTCCAGTGACAGAAGAATTTTAAATGGTCATTGAGTGTGGAATTAAATGACCAAATTATTGAGAATATTTACGATAGATCCCCCACAATTTTCTAATGAATTAGCAAACTAAGTCTCAATGGAAACTATTTTTTTATATTCCATTATCTATGTAATTATGATATTTATTTTGTAATTATGTATTATGATTATGAAGTTTGGTATACAAATTGATACTGTGATCTCTGGAAACATTTTAAGTAATTCTTACCTTTAAAAAACTGTTTGAAAATGGGCTAAATGTTGGCAACCAAAACTTAATAGAATGGAAATAAGGATCATTACAATTAACATTGAAGTGTTTCCCATATTTGATTTTATGAATTTTGAGAGAATAATATTTTTTATTTATGTTAGTGATATTTAAAATTATAATTGTTTAAGTTGTAGTGTGCCAACTGCATTAAATTTTAATGTTAATTTTAACATATTACATTTGAAAAATGTGAAGAGGTAAATAGCTATGGTTGAGAGACAGCACTGAAAATATAGAAGCTAAAGAACTCAACAATCCACAGTGGTTGTTTGAGTCCACCCAGCTTAAGATCAATGAGTGACAACTTAAGTGAGAAATAAATGTAACTTGTGCAATACTGACCACATTGCCGCAATCGTGACTTTGGTCATAAAATTGTGAAGCCATAAACTCTGACCCTAATAGACTGTTGCAAGAACTCTTTTCTTTTTAAATTATAACAACTTTAAGTTATTAGTTAAACTGGAACTCTAATTTTTTTGTTGTCAAGTGCTTAATAAACAGAATTATAAGAAAATATGTATATTGTATAAATTTTTTAAAAAAAAATAATATGGTACAATATGTATTTGTCAAAATAAAAATTTCATTTATTGCCGAAGTAGTTAAGGTGTACTTTTAATTATAATACTTTTGAAGGAAATGAAGTTTAGTCCATTAACTAGTTCATCTTACCGTTTCAGCTTCTTGAGATTATTAATTTCCTGATATTGTTATATGTTTAATAAACTCTGATATTAATGTATTTCAGAATAATATTCATTGTGGCATCTATCCGGCATCAATATCTAGTCTTTTTATCCTGACTACTCTTATGGTCTCTCTATTCTTGGCCAATGTTGATGCATCATTTGGTGGAATCACTTACCTGGAAAAGTATATTCCTGGGTAAATATAAGATTTTTTCTTCTTCTTTCAAATATAAAGTATTGCTGTTGGTTTTATAATTAATTGTAAGTCTGTTTCTAATATGTTCCCAAACTAATACTGTAAATTTCTGAATATAAGCCCATCCGTGCATAAGACGAAGGGCGCGCTTTTTATTTGGAAATTGTCCCGACATTCAAAACTTGTATACAAGTCGAGGTGAAAAGAATGAGGTCTGCTATACGGGGAAATAAAAAATTTTCCCCCACTAGAAGTAATAGATGCATAGTGGGTAAAAACATAGACCTTCCGAATTCGTAATTGGAAGATTAAAAAAAATTTTCTTTCAAATTGTCTTATTTACATGTTACTTTTTCAATTTTTATATTTCAGAATTCTGTTTTCAACTATTATTTTATATGTATGTTTAATGATATTTATTGACTATCGCAAATGCTCAACAGAAGGAGAAGTATTTCTATTCACAATGTCCTCCTGGGATTTTTCGAAATTGTCGGATCCGAAAATTAGCTGACTCATCTTTAGCTTTCGAAAATTTTCTAAAAATAATCCGATTATATTTGAAAATATACGGTATATGCAAATTGTCAGAGCCTGGGCTACATTGAGATAGAAATCGGTCAGTTTTGTACTGGGGGAGAGGGTATGAATCATATTTAGTTTATGTCCCACATATGGATTTTAAGTCTGCTTTAGTTTTTATATCATTCATCTTTCACATAAAATTCATTTTATACATAAATTAATTAAAGAGTAATTATTCAAATGACTCTTTATTTGTTCTAAATAAACCAAACAAAATAAACTACTTACTTCTAGTTAAGTATTTTATTGTATTTTTCTATTTTTTCAGAGATTCTTTTGCTCCCTTTACTATAAAACTGGCTGCCTGTGTGGCTTACAGTTTTTGTTTATGGATTACAATTATTCTAATGCTGCGATACACCCTCAAACTTCTTCTTATGTATAAAGGATGGATGTTTGAAGGTCGACATGGGAGAAAAACGTCTTTGAAAACCTACATTTGGGCTGTAAGTGTACTTTTTTATCTTACCACTCATTGAATTTTTCCTTTGTAGGTTATAAAAATTGAAAAATATCTATTATATTAGACTAAAAACATGCTTAAAATTTTAGTTGTCCAGTATATTTTTTGTTCTTTGTAAAATTAAAAGATTTGTCATGATTTGGATATATTTTTGGCTGAGTATTTTCATAGTTTAAATGATATATCTACAAATTTATTTCATTACTTTTTACAATTGTTGTCAAGCTCCTTCAATAATTTTAAAAATGGTGCTATCGAATGTTCGTCTTCTGAAATAAAACTTTCTAAATGTAGTGCATTGTTTATTGTGACTTATCCATAAGAGTATAAAGAAAATGTTTGGATTGAATACTCCCTTGCCCAGTAGCAAAACTATTCCAATGCAAGCTAAGAAAAAACCATTGCAGTATATGATTTAAGTAATCATCCACAACTGCATATAGTTCTGTTTTATTTTGTTATAAAATTATACATATATATTTTCAAAAACAATATGATTACTTTTAAAAGCTAAAAATGTCAGACAGAAATTTGATTCGTGCTATCTTTAACGATGTATGTAGAATTTTTGAAAAAAAAAAATTCTATTTTCATAGTCATACTGAAATCCTAGACTTAAGGACATATTTTGATAAATAAGAACATTCATTCTTGGAAAAAGAAGCAACTATATGGCATTGCAAGACCATTTGTTTTGATTGGACCTCTAAAAATGATGCATCTTATGCTGACATACCCTGAAAAAATTCCAATGCGAGATAAAAAAAAAAAAAAAAAATTTATTTACTTTCTTTCATTGTAGATGAAAATCTTCTGCAAGAAACATTTATTATTCTTTTTTCAGTTTCTTTAAATGCAAGCAGAAAGGCGTATATTTGTTATAATTTTTAATAAATCTTATTACTTGTTAGTTGATTATTCAATAAGTTTTGTTTTCCTCATTTTACATGATTTAAAACAAGCAAAAAGAAGGCTATGCAATGCTGTTTCAAGAGTTGGCGATGTCGATATTTGTCTCTCCATAGTGATTGTTTCTTTCTTAACTTGCAACCGAGTATAGTATAGCATGGAAACAGATGCCACAAATTTATTTTGACCTTGCAGGCAAAAATTAACCTAACATTAATAAATGAACGAAAATGTTGTCAAAATTAAGTAAACTGTAAAAAATTTATCTGTATTAACAACTAACTTTCCCTCACTAAACTCTGCAGATGAATTTTAGATTTTTCCTTGGTGCGACTGGTCGCTACAAAGGCTTTTACTACTGAACTGCCATATATTTGAAGTGCATACTAATGATGTTTTTGTTTTATAAACCAACACTATTAATTTTTTTCTTTTTTAAATTAATGGACAATCAATTTAATTAGTTTTGATAAATTTTCAAATAGTTTTTATCAATTTTTAGCTATATTTTTTTAAAATATTCACCTCTAAGAATAATTTCAATTCAGAATGTACCGTTAATGGAGGTGCACAACCTCTATTAGGAGAGGTAAAAAAAAATTATTCAAGCTTTTTAGTGCCTCTGTGAATTCAATTTTTATGTTAATCTTCTTTTGAATTTGTCATTATTCATTTTTAATTTAATAGGAAAAATATTAAACTAAAACAAGAAATTAAGCAAACAAGTATACAATTGTAACTTTTACATTTATGTACAAAGTTAATGTTTAATATTTTTGAAAGTAAAAAATATTTGCTGTTTTGCACATGCTTGATTTCTTTGCGCAATAAAATAAACAGTTTGTTCTTAGAAAATTAAACTGAAGTTGCTATTTTTTCTTGCATTAATTTAAATAAATCTTTGTACTATGTATATTCTAAACATGTTTTTGTAAAAAAAAAAATTTGAAATGGCAAAAGATTTATATCTTTAGACATTTAAATTGTTACCACTGCATTTAGGAACTAGATGAAATATTTTTATGCAATTTATGTAGTTTTTTTATTATTATTATTTATTGGCAAGTAAGTGGATAACACACATTTACCATTTAAGACCAAATCTGCCCCCTGCTTAAGGTGAATAAATTCTAAGGTGATTTATATTCCTTCGGCACTACTTCAATTGAACTATTGTTACTATAAATGTATTATTATTATGCTTATTTATTGTTAAATTTGTTTGATGAATATTAACTGTTCAAAATGTAATCCTTGCAGGGTTTGGTGAGAACACTGACCATGAAAAGAAGTCCCATGTTATATTCATTTCAGAGTTCTCTTCCTCGATTACCACTCCCATCTCTTGAGGGCACAATGAAACGAGTATGACTTTCCTATACATACTAAATGCACTTGAAATTAAAAAAGAAAAATGCACTACTTTTTGCTATCTAGATTAATTGTGTGTTTGCTTATGTTATCATTTATTCGTTTATTAAACTCAGTTTTTTATTGTAGACTTTGCATTACTAAAAAAAACTGTAATGGAACAAATTAACAAATAAAGCAATTACAGTATTTTATCTGTTTAAGACAGCCGGAAAATATTTACCTAACTACAATTATTTTCTGTCACGATTAAGTAATCATAGTAATTAGTTCTGTGGTAAATATATTATATATAGAATTTATTAGAATTTCGAATAGAGTATAATTATATAGAATATTAAGAATTTTTATTTTTCCATTGCAAAAACAGCTTTGTCTCATATATTTTAAAATTACCTTAAGTAAAACCTCATTTTGGAAGCAAACACATTATAATTTATAATTAAAACTCTTGTTTCTTATTTTAAAACTTGTTTCTGTCAATGGGACAGTAATGGCAATAAACTTGAAAAACACCATTTTAAAAAAAAAAATTTAAGATATATGTAGCAAAAATTTTGCTATGTAATAATTTATCATGATGGGTTTTGTTTGTTTTAAATTTCAAAATACCGGTTGTACATTTCATCTAAATTGTATATGGCTTAGAAATGGGCAGAAATTGGCCTTTGTAGCATTTTTTAAATGATGCACACTTTCATTTTTTATATATCTTGTGCTTGTGATCATTAAAATGTTTCGTCCAAACAGCTCAGTAAAATTTCAGTTGACTTTTAACTCTGGTAAAAGTTTTATTCTTGATCTTATTATCCCCTATATTTTTACATATTTCTAAAATTAAGTGATATCAATAAATAATTAAAATTGCACATTTTTATAATAATTGTTCTATTTCCAAAATTGTTCTATTTATTTTTTGTTTGTTTTTTTAGTTAATAATAATTTGTTCTATAAAAGTATCTTCTTAATCTTAGATGATTAAACGTAAAATCAGTGTTTTCTGTTATTAATTATTTAACCCATTCCTTATTTTTATCTTCTATATTAGTGCCAAAAAAAGAAACATACTTTTGATTAATTAACAAATTCTATATTTTATCAACAAATTTTTATTTCACTTAATTTTGTTTCTTATAATTTAGTTCTTGTAATTATTTTCCTATAGTACCTAACTACTGTACGGCCATTATTAGACGATGATAAATACCACAAAATGGAGGAAATGGCCATGGAGTTTAAAACAGGTGTTGGTAAAAAACTTCAGCGCTATTTGTGGTTGAAATCTTGGTGGGCATCTAATTATGTAAGTATATTCTTAGAATTTAGAGAGATTTTAAAATTAGATTATGATTCTGAGAATCAAATAATTTGATAGCATAATTTTCTATGTTTAAGCATGATCTGCTATAAGTAGCCACAGAACTTTATTCTGTAAAATTTTAGTTTTGTGATTTTTAGTTGGAAAAGATATTATGTAAGCAGCTCTTTAATGTTATTACACATTAAAGCTAATTTTTTGATTCCACTATTGCAGTTAAGGTATGTAACTGGATGACAATCTGTAATTTTGATAAAAATTTCAATTTTTTTTCTTATTATTATTCGTATTTAAACATAAGTTTATTAGCTTTCCAAAACCCTTTAAAATTTTTATCTCCGATTTTTAGAAATGAATTAACTGTTGTTTCTCCGTATGCTGCCAGATGAAATCGATACAAGAAGTAAACTCACAAAAATGAAGAAAATATGCTTCTTGTTTCACTTTGAGTATTTAAGCAATTATTTATTTTAATGAATTATATTTTTAAGACCAATAAAATTCATTTTAAGAAATTATTTTTTAAATAATTTTTGAATTTTTTTTGCTCAAAATTTTCTTACATTTCAGAATTTTCTTGTATAATTTTAGCAATATTTTGAACTAAAAATTAAGGTCTATTTTTTTATGAAGCTTTAAATGAATATATTAGAATTTTTCTTTAAAAATTCAATGTTGAACAATGTATGTATTTAGTTTTATTTCATTCCATTTTCTTCTTTTTTTTTTTTTTTTTAATTTAAGATTTTTAGTTTAGAACACGGGTAATTACATTATTCATCTGGAGAGAAATTTATTTTGAAATTTCAGGATTAAAATTTGTTAAGGAGCTGTGAGTGTGACATGAAACATTTGTAGTTAAACTCAAATTACCCCTTATTTTGAAAGATATTTTGTAAGTTTTTAAACTTTACTTTAAATTTATAATTTGAGGATTTCTGCTTACCAAATTTAAATTAACCTTTATATTAATTGAAATTACAAATATTAATTGAACCTTAAAAAGAAAAAAAGTTCTTGAAACCAGTTGGATACATACCTCAATCAAGTTTGAAAACAAAATTGCTGGACATGTTATTCCATTTAGCTTTCCAATTTTATTTTTTCACAAAAGAATCCTTTAATTTTCTTAAAGTTTGGAGGCAATTTTGACCTTAATTTTTATATTTTGGACCTCCAACCATGTAAAAAACAGTCTGCTAAATGTTCTGACATAGGAAATTTAGAGCAACAGTGAGGGAAAGTGACAAATAAAAGGAGCAGAGAAGAAGAAGACTGAACTTTTTTAGATTAATTTACAGTAAATGAAACAGAATATTTTGAAATAAAAAGTTCAAACCAACCGTCAAAGAATGATTAAACAAAACTATAGCTGAGAAACAACAAAAAATAGATGCTATTTTTTCAGTCTCTCAAATTTATAAATAAAATAAAATTACAGTAAATGAAACAGATTAATTTACAGTAAATGAAACAGATTAATTTACAGTAAATGAAACAGAATATTTTGAAATAAAAAGTTCGAACCAACCGTCAAAGAATGATTAAACAAAACTATAGCTGAGAAACAACAAAAAATAGATGCTGTTTTTTCAGTCTCTCAAACTTAAAAATAAAATAAACACATAAATAAAAATTAAATTTACAATAATGAGCAATGTAAATAATTGTATAGATTTTTTGGGAGGAAAAAGAATGTCTTACAATCTAAATTAGAATTTTTTTTTTTGCTGTTTTTTTGATGACTTTTTTTTATTATTAAGAGAGTTCTTTTAGGCGCAGTAAAGACATTTTTTTCATCTAAATAACTCTGAAAATTATTAATTGAAGTCTAATTTTAGCCTAGGTTGAATTTTTACTGCAGAATTATTAATCGCTATCACTTGTAAAGCAAAATAAATTGAATTTATGTATTTATAACTTAAGTCATTATGTACATAGAAATAACAATGCCAAACTTAAAATGTCTTGATTAATCACATTATTGATATTTTTATTAATGCTTGCTGAAAAGCATGTTGTAAACATTTCATTCAATTAAGCATAATTATATCTGGTTAATAATTCATGAAAAAAAAAATTTTTTTTTTTTTTTTTGTGTTTGACTGGGGTGTATGATAATTACTCAGTAATTAAATTAATTGCTTATTGAATAGGTAACTGACTGGTGGGAAGATTATGTTTACTTAAGCGGTAGATCGCCATTGCTGGTGTACAGTAACTGTTATGGTTTGGTAAGTATTTAATTTGGTCTACAATAAATATCAAAATTATATTTGTTAAATCAAATTACTTCTAGTGCTTTATATTTGAGTGCTTTATTTTGAGACTAAATAAATTTTGTTATGTGCTCAGATTTTAAAAAAATATTAAGCTTCTATTTTAAATATGCATAAAATACAGTCGACAATGGATATAATAATCCCTATGAGCTAAATTAAAATGGACGTAAAATGCATTTAAATAAACTTATGAAAGAATAATAATTATTGCATATGATTTTCTTCTGCAAAACAAAAGTCAAAATTCTTTATCTTGCATTTGATTTGTTACAGGCAAGTCAGCATAATATGCTCCATTTTTAGTGGTCTGATCAAATCTAGTGTTCTTGCAATGCCATACAATTGTTTCTTTTTCAAGAACAAATGTTAAAAAAAAGAAAATGCTATAACCTTTTCTCTTTTTTTCTTCTATGATATATGCCATAAAAGATAGCACAAATTAAGTTTCTGCTTAATGTTTTCAAGTTTCAAAAGCTTTGATATTGTTTTAAAAACCTATTTGTATAGTTCGAAAACTAAATGAAACCGAACTATATGCAGTTGCGGATGATTACTTAAATCATACAATGGTCTTTTCTTAACTTGCAATGGAGTATATTCTGAAACATGTAAATTCCCTTTATTACTTAATTTAACTTGTTGTGAAGTTGAGTACATTATCAATTAATTCAATTTATAAATCATATAGTTATGATTTATCAATTGAAGACAAAGGTATGAATTTATTTATATTATAAATTTTGTCGTGTTAAACTCTTAGTCTTCTAGTGCTAAAGTGTTAGTTTTAATTTGATGTTTCTGAAAATATTCTTTTTTTATGTTTTTATACATTGACAATATTTTTGTAGAAGCATTGCATGTAAACAACATAGAGTTAATAATTTTTATCAAGCAAGACTGATTTCTTTGTTTAAACCTTAATCTCAATTTAATATGTATTGCCACATTTTTAGTCTCAATTTAATTATTAAATATGTATTTTAAAATCATTGCCTGGGGAAAAAAATCGAAGTTTTTCTCATAATTGCAATCTGTAAACTTTTACCAACTCTCATAATGGTGTGTCTTTAAAAATTTCTGCTTATGAAGTTTAAAATGAGGCTTTATAAAGTTATTATTTCATATTTACATTACATTTTGTTTTAAATTTGAGAAGAAATTATTTTCTTATTTCTAAACTTACAATGAAATATAAACCTTTCTCAGTATATACATTGATTATTTATTTATTTCAAATGGCAGAGGTAATTGACATGAAAAAGCAAAAACATAATAATCCGGCATACATTGATTATAAAAAAAGACATACCAATTATTTTTTCTTTTGTTATTTTTTTCCTTTAAATTCATCAAACATACATTGATAGAAAATTTATTTAATATTAAAAACTAATTTAACAATTTTCAAATAGAATTTTTTTGTTTTTGTTTATTTACATGAATTTTAAAAAATTTCTGTTTAATTTTGTATTTGAAATACACCATCAAAATAAAATTTGTAAGCATAGCTTTATAAATAGAATTTATCATTTTAAACAACTCCACACTCATTTATGTACACAAAACACTTTCAGGTAACGCAAAATATATTTTGTTTTGCCTTATTACAAACTTTATTGCTATGAAAATTCACTAAGTTATGAGGTTTTAAAATTCGGAAAAACTTATTCTAGTAGAATTTATTGTAAGAAAGTAAATTATGAGTTACATGTATAAAACTTACAAATTAAATAACTGTTGTGCACAATTTCAGAAGTTGCCTATCAATTAATTTACAATTTTTAATCCGGATCACAGATGTGTTAGTTAAGAATATCTTTTAATGCGCATGTTTACAAATATAGCAAATGTATTATTAACTTTAGACATAGTAAAATGTTGAAGAATTCTATCAATTCCAACTTTGACTGATAAAGGTTTTCAACAAAACAAAAAAAATGTTTAATGTAAACCATGTTCATTGCTACAACTGTATATTCATACACTTTGCAAATACAACTGTGTCCAAACTTCAGCGGTCTGTAATTTTATAAATTTATATTGCAACTAATAATCTCCTAATTCTAAGCAAATTGAAGAACGATATATATATATATATATATATTAATTTTAATAGGGCTAATAAGCTCATAATATTTACATGTTGTTTTTTTTTAATAAAGTGTTTTTTATGTTTTTGTGAAATATTAAAACAGAAAATGAACCTTTATCTTGCCAGTATGATCACAAATTTTTTGTTGGTCGTGTTTTTGTAATATATATTTATTAATATAGTATTTTATTGTGTTATTATTTTTTACAATTAGAATTTCATTTTAATTAAAGGACTATGTTCCCCTTCCGACAACCTCACAATCTGCAAGAGCTGCCAATTTCATTCATGCTGCAATGACTTTTAGGAAACTCCTTAACACTCAAACACTAAAGCCTGTAAGCAATTCTTTAAATTACTCTAATTTCCATGTTTCATTTTTGTATCCTGTTTTTGTCTCACTTCTTTTGTTTTTAGGTCACTGTACAAAATTTTATTCCTTTGTGTGCCTGGCAATATGAAAGGATGTTTAATACTACTCGAGTACCAGACCCAGAGAAAGGTAAAATATCTATCTATATGTATAAATGAATGTCACTCTGTGTGTGTCCTTTATAAACTCCTAAAGCATCCGAACGAAACAGGTGAAATTCGGCATACAAATAGTTTGGATCACCAGGAAGGTCACTATCGACAAAAGAACATTCTATGACGAACCGTTCGAGTGGGATACGCAAAAAGCAAAATGAAATTTTCTGATCTGCTGGGCAGTAGCCATTGTTTTAGATTTAACTACAGACAATTCAATTTTTTAAATATTTTAAAGATAATATTAATAATATTTGCTAGCTTATAGCTCTATTTGATCAAAAACAGTTTATTGTGTATATTTTAATATTTAATTATTTTTTATTTGCTATGTCAGATAAATTCAACACAACACAAACCTGGTAGAATTTTCAGACTATGAGATATTTTTAAAGTTATCTGTTACCAGATGTTTATTGTAATTCTTTTAAAAGGTGTTTCCATAAAAGTTGTTTAAAATAGTTTAAAATCAACCATAACTGCAATTCTAAAAAAAAAATTAGTTACGTGAAAAATATCCATATTAAGTATTATTGACCAGGGCTGATTGTGCTCCAGAAAAAATCTGGATTTCCAGAATTTTTGCTAACACTGATCCGGAAGTTTCCGGACATCGAAGGTCCAGAAGTTTTAAAAAATCATTGATCACAGAAGTTTCCGAAAATCAAATTTTCAAAGATGGAACTTAAAAACACAGTTTATTTTATTTGTTTGTAAGGGCGAGCCAGAAAGATACTTTATAAGCTTACATTCATGATTAATATTAATTTTTTATCAGCATTAGTTGTTATAATCATAAACTCAAGAAAGAAAGGCATATTTGTAAATTTTAATTACTTCTCCAGATCATGATAGGTATGTGTAAATGGTATAAGTATGAGTAAAATTTTAAGTAAACTAAGAAATATTGAGGAAACAGAAACAAAACCTTGTTGAAATTTTTTTCTGAATTTTAAATTTAAACTGTTTTTTTTTTTTTTTTTTTTTTTTTTTTTTTTTTTGTTAACTCAAGAAATTTTCCGGAATTTTGACTTGGGCTCACAATCACCCTTTATTGACGCCAATGAAACTTAATTTAGATAATATATGCATATTAAAATGAAATAAGCTATGCCTATTGAAAAGTATTCTTAACAGCATTGTTAAATCGGCTCGATTTTCAGAGTTTATTGTTGAAAGAGGATTAAAAAACGTCACCTTTATAATCTGAATATAATATCAGACGTGAGTCTGACTCAATTACTTTAGACAATCAAGGTCCAACAGTATTTGACTCAATACAGTTTTTAGACTTGAATTGAATTTTTTTAATTGTTAAATAGTCATTCATGAAATTTTAATTGCATATTTTATACAATATACTTAAATATGTCATGTTCATGAAGTTTTTTTTTTTCAATTGGACAGTTTTTAAAAAAAAAAATAAAAAAAATTTCTGCTTACTATTTATATATACATTTCTTTTCTTTTTTTTTATTTTTTAGATAGGGTTGTTCATCTGTCTGATTCTCAACACTTGGCTGTCTACAATAGAGGACGTTTTTACAAGTTAATGTTATATAATAAAAACCGCCTTTTGAAACCTGCTGAAATTCAGTGGTATATATTTTTTCTCTTATTTTAGAATAATTTAATTTATTACATTTGTTTTATTTGTTATATATGAGTTACCAAAGGTTGAAGTGAAGTGGCAATAATGCTCCCTTTTATAATCAATTTTGACACTAGCATTCTCCAAACTACAATTAAAGTTATTCTATGCCTTTAAGTACACTATAAAGTTAACCTAAAAACTGTTCTCAGCAATCTCAAAGTAAAATTAATAAGAATAATTTTTAATTTTAATAATTTATATTTAAGGAGATATATATTAAATTATACGAGATATATGCTGAGGAGCTTGCATTTTTCAGAAAAATATCTCTGAAACTATTATTTACAAAACCAGCCCTGGACCTTTCTTTCATAGATGTTGCTGATCAAATTTAGGTGCTGGAGGGAGACCGGTCCTGTAGTTGTTAGAGTTTACTTTTTAATCCTGTAACTGCAAATCTATTTGGTCAATATTTACAAAAAATTTTCCATCTCCAATATATAGCTGGGAAAAAAAATTTTTTTGTTGTGTGAGAAAGTACTACATCTAATACGACTCTACATCCTATTACAAATTGAGTTCAGAATCATCAGTTAAATATTTAAAAAAAGGAAATGCTACAAAACCTTCAATGTTTTCCGAAGATTTCTCCTTTAATAGTTAAAGCTAAAAATTCTCAATTTTATTTCAGGCATTCAAATAAGTCTAGATGCATTTCCCTTTTAACTTGTTTCATACTAGCTAAATACCTGTTCTACCAGGTAGGAAAAAAAAATTCAACAATCTATAAATCAATATTATTTAACACCACAAAATCCTGCACCAATTATATGTAAGATAATTCAAATTTTTTGTATTTTATTATTTGTAATGTCTACCAGTGATTTTATGTTATTAGATTAAGTAAAACAAGGTTTTAAAAGTTCAATTAACTAAAATAAAGATTGATTATAGTCTATATCATTTAAAAAATGATGCTATTGCTCAACACCCACCCATGATAGTCAAAATTTACTTCAAACGAGCAATTTTGTCTGTTAATTTTGCTTCTTATAACTTAACTTTTTTTTAGCTAGCACTGATTTCAAATGGAAACATATTTCGGAAGTGTTACTATAAATAAAATAAACACATGGTTTCTTAAGAAATACTAATGTATGAAATATTAACTCCTGGTTTCAGATGAAATACTATCTTTTAAAATACTAATTCATCGATGTAACACTCACATACTATACATGGTGATCCCTGAGCTTTCCTGTCATAACAATTATAAAATAGTTATTAAATGAATTGTTATAAACTTTTTTGATTAAACAGAATTGTAAATTGGCAAACATCCCTTGTGTCATCTTTTAAATAATTGTAGTTAAGCAATGTAATATGTTGGGGAATTTTTTTTTTTTTTTTAATTATACGCTCACCTATTATGATATATGAAATTAACAAGCAATCATTACCCAAATTTGTTAGCTTAATGTGACTCTCAATCAAAGCCATATCAATTCAGATTACTTGCCTAACTCTTAAAATGATTTGTTGCTAAAAATTGTTTCATAAAAGCTAATTTTCAAATTTTTCAAACCTTTAGGCAATTGCAACAAATTTTAGAAGATCAGAGTGTGCCTTATCCTGGAGAAAACCACCTTGCTGCACTCACAGCTAACAACAGGTTAGTTATTTTTAGTTTTTATTATTAGATTAACTTTTTTACAATGAAAATTATAAAAAAGGAAAATTCTTTTATTACAATAATTACTTGCTTTTACTGTTACTGATTTTTGATTAATTAGTAATTTGTTATTAGTTTACGATCAAAAAATTCAGTTTATAATTTTTGATGGGTGATTTAAATGTTTATTTCAATTAATACCTCATTTTTCTCTTTTTTAATTCAAGAATACAGCAAAATATAAGAAGTCCAAAATTTTAATTATGTAACATATTTTTGGTCAAAATATGTACAATAAAAAATTATTTGAGCTATTGTATTTTTTCTTTAGCATTTTTTAAGGGTTTCAAAAAAAAAAGTTAACACATTATTTTTAATTTAAATTCTTCCTTATATCTTTTGTTAGTTCAAATTTAAAGAAATTTCCCTTGTTTCCAGAGAAAAATTTTTTATTAAAAAATAATGCAAAGCAAGCCAATTATATAGAATAGGAAGATTGCAATAAGATTCAACGGTACTGAGAGTATCTTAACATAAATATTTATTAGAAATGTGTTTGTTGTTATAAAATTCTATAAAGTACTTAAATTTGATTGCAGAGTTCTCCCTAGGGATAAAAAAAAGGCATTTTGAGTTTTGAAAGGGCACTCACCACCTTCAAAATTTATCAGAATATGTAATAACTAAGGCCCGGATTTTGATGACATTTGCATTTTTGGACATTTTTTGTCCTTTAGAGATTTATAGGGCATTTTTTGTCAATTTTTTGAAATTTGTAGGGCATTTTCTTTAAATTTTGGGGCGTATTTGGCATTTTAAAGCATTTTTTAAATTTTTTGTTAATTTTTAATAATTTTTTATTATTACACTGGCTAATGAAGAAAATCTCTAGGATATTAAAAGGTGAAGCAACATCTTTTCAAATTAAAGAAGAATTGTCAGTAAGTGCGACCGTCCTTTTCAAGTACGTACCAATAACATCAGTAGACGTTGAAAGAAGCTTCTCCTGGTATAAAAATTTGCTTTCAGACAAGAGACGCTCGTTTACATTTCAAAATATTAAACAAAAATTTAATAATCCACTGTAATTCTGATATTTAGTAATCTAATGAGATGGAAGTTGTTATATTCATTTAAGTTTCTATACAAAATGAAAATATTTTGCAGTCAATATATTTTCCTTTTTTTTGTTATTTTAGGATATAAAACATATTTTTCAAACTTTAATGAACGTAGAACAAGTATTGCATTGCTTTATTTTTTTTAACGACTCATAATAATTTTAAAGAGTAAAGCATTGTTTTAGTTCAATATTTTTACTTCAATATTTTTACTTCTATTTAAGTCATGTCATAAGGCATTTTTAGCGCAATTTTTGCATTTTAAGGGCATTTTTTGCACTTTTAAGGGCATTAATTCAGATTTTTTAGGTCATCAAAATCCAGGCTCTAGTAATAACTGTATTTGATCCTCAATTTTTTAATTACCCTCTCATCCTATTTTATGTGTATGTCTCACAAAGTAATTTTCACTCATTATCAAAATAACAAAAACATTTTAAGCTTTTGAAAAATAATTAAAGGCTAGCTACAAGAATATGTATACATTTTCTTCATAAAAAAGCAAACTAAAAGAAAGATTAATTGATTAGCAACTTTTGTGCCTTTTTTTTAATATTTTAAGCCGAAAATTATGAGAAAATAAACATTTAAAGGTGTTTTTTGAAATAACAAGTATTTATTCAAAAAAAAATAATGGTAAAATGTAAAATCTCTAATATCCCCCTCTACATAAAAGACATAAACATCTATTTGGTCGAATGTTATGCAAATTTTTACCATATAACTAGACAACATTAGAATACTCTTACTAAAATTAAGGAATCAAATTAAAAACTGAAGTTAAATAATTAACAATGACTAAATAAATCAGAAGTGTAGTACTTTTCATTAAAACATGTGGTTAAGAAAACAATCTTTTTATAATAAAATAAAAAAACAATATTTTTATGGAATGGCAACTTATTTTTATAATAAAGGCAACGAGGGCGCAATCATAAGAACAAAGAGCAAACAGGGCGGACTGCCTTTCTAAAAACGCTTGAGGAGAACGCTGTTGATTGTATAAAATATTAATAATTAAATTAAATGATAATTAAATTGTGTGGAATACTTCATTGTAAGAAACTTAATTAACTTAAATTATATCACGAGCTACATAACTTTATTTTTCCATTCAATTTCAGAACTGTGTGGGCAAATGCCAGAACGACATATTTTTCTAAAGGTCTCAACAAATCTTCTTTAAAGATTATTGAAGATGTAAGGTGTTTAAAATAGCTTTCATTTTTTCCATATCTTTTAATTATAAAAAAATAATATCTTGAATTATCTTTGCAGGCAGCATTTTTTTTGGTTTTATATGATGAAGACTTAGATTTTGATCCTGTAAGTATTTGTATCTAAATACAGCAATCTAATTTTCTTTTCAACTTTTTTAATGTAACCTCTTGTTATAAGGCTCATTTTTCTTATTGTCTCATATTCTAATTTTACTTTACTACATGTAGTCTGCCATTGTGTTTTTAAATTCCTATTTGCAAGTCACATGGAGATATATCTTTTTTGAGGAAATACAGATGCCATAACATAATCTCTAGGATTCTTATTTGTTTTCCTTGAGTTTATATAATCAAAGTTTTTTTTTCCTTGAATTAAGCATTTTTTTTTTTTCTTAAGCCTTTTTGCTGAGGAAAACAAAAAGCTACAATTTGAATGTTTTACATTCAAAGCAAATTTTTAAAGTGTATTTTATTACTTTATAGAAAGCTTTAAAACAAAATAGTATTTATAATAATTTTAAGAAAATTTATATTAATAAACTTTGAAAATAACTACCAATTTAGACTTGTTTTTTTTATTTTTTTATTTTATTTAAATGAAAGCTATTGAAATCAATGAATAATTCCTAATTTTTGCTTATTTTCATGAGTGCAAACAATACAGCATTTATTCCAATTTTATTGGAGTACCTTTTGAAATACTTAAAGGTTAATTGACAAATGCTTTTTATTTAAAAAAGAAAAGATTTAGGCTCTTCATGTTGATATTTACACCATATTTTTAATTAGTGTTGAGAAAGCTGGGTTAAGATAGGCATAATTTATTAGCCATGAATAACTGTTACAAATTCATAACAATTATGCATAATTCTAAAGAATAGTTTTCCAATGTGGACGCCATGTGGCGTTTGGACTTTCTAAGAGGATATTTCAAAACTTACTGCAGAAATTTTTGTTAAAATATGCAGTATACTTTAATTTTTGATAATTTTATTTTATTTCGTATCGAAGAGCCAACATATATTTAACTCAGCTTAAATTACATGTTATCAAAGCAGTTATTAATTCACAAATTTATGGAAAAAAAGATAAACTAATTTTATAGTACTGTGATATTATGAAGATAACACTGTGCTTGCTGTTCCACACACATAAAAAAAAAATTTTAAAAAATGCATTCAAAAGTTTAGGTGATTTTTTTTTTTTTTTTTTTTTTTTTTTTTTTTTTTTTTTTTTTTTTTTTTTTTTNTTTTTTTTTTTTTGAATTTTTAACAGTAGATAGCAAGAAATGTATTGTTCATAAAATCTCCTTTATATTTTGTTTTTCATGTTGACAAGCTATGGCTGTATAAATAAAGCAACATTTGACCTTTTAATTAATTCATTGTGTTTGCATGTATTGCATTTTACATTAAACCTCAGATTTTTTTTTTTTTGTACAGTAAGATTTATTTATGATATAGAATATATTTGCATGCTAAAACTTTTGTGCAGTTCAATCATGTGATTGTTGATTCAAGCTACTATCAACCATATTTTCTAAAATACGCATTCTGAGATTAAAATTCTCCAAATCTTGCTCTAATTCATCTAGACTGTATTCTAAAAAGAAAATTTGGGATGGAATTGGGAAGTAAGCATTTTTATGAAACTGTATTGCTTTTCTCTAAAATATTTATAAAATACAGATTAATAGTTTTAATTGATTTGGTATTACAGTGAAACCTCCAGGAAAGACCACGTCTGTGTAGCGACCACCTCTATTTATGACCACTTTTGAGGGGCATGGAATTTTTTGAATAGCTGCTATCCATTTTCTCCGTGCAGACCCTTCTTATGCAGTCCCAAATTTCATTTTAAAAAAAATACAGAATTTGCAAAATAATATTGGCATTATTTAAAGTAATTTCAGTAAATTCTGAAAGGGCACCAAAATTAAAATGTTACAATTTAAAAATGAAGAGAAGAGAGTTCAAAATTTTTTAAATATTAGGACTACATTTTCTCAAAGTGAAAGGATTTTTAAAAAATAGAGCTCAAGGATTTAAAAAATGTGCTTAATTATAAACCTGTAATAATTTAATTGTATTTTAGAAAGAAAAGAAAAAAGGTATGGAACCTCATAAAATCCTTAGTTTGAAAAGACACATTTTTAATTATGTGTAATTTATTTATTTTTAATTGTTCTTATAGAAAGAGAGGAATTATTAATTGATGGCAAGAATTTTTTTCCTGAAGTTAAATTGTACATTTAGTTTTTTATAATATAATTATCACTTTATATGGTTCAAACATTAAAATCAAGTAACTTAAGTTATAGTTATATATTACTAAACAAATTAGTAGTAGTAGTTTTTTGATTCACTAATGAAACCAAATAAAATTTGTTTAAAATTTTTTTTTTGGTGAATGCTTTAATAATTACTTGAAATTGTTTCACTCAATTTTATCATACAAGTTGAATTATTTTGAAAAATAATTTTTTTTTACTAACTGCTTTGGTAATTATTCCTCTCACAGAATGATCCCTCAAAGCTCAATAAGTTCTCACAAGCTCTGCTCCATGGAAAAGGCTATAACATGTGGTTAGACAAGTCTTTCAATATTGTTGTTTCCAAAAATGGGAGGGCTTGCTGCACTCACAGCTAACANGATGATAATTCTTTTTCGTCAAATTTTGTAAAGAGTGTTAAAAATTATTATGAGATTATAATTTTCGGTAAGAATCCTAATAATAATAAAATTATAATTCAAACTATTTTTCTCAGAATTAATATTAATATAATTATAAGAATAATTTTCTGTAAAATTATTGTTAGATAATTTTCCGGTGGAAAAATATGTATGGATATTGGAGATCGAAACTCTCTACCTATGGCAATAGTTCGCATGCTTTTACCATTAGCATGTGAAGAGTCATAGAAGAAGGAAGTTTAATATTCAAAATATTTAATAATTTTAGCTTTATTGTTTGCAAATAATAGTAATAACTTATAATGTGTTAAAAATGAAATTTTGGACTATTAATTTTACCTGTTAAGTATTTATTTTTATCCTTTTTTTCCAGTTGGGCTGCAATTGTGAACATTCCTGGTAAGTAGTTTTGTCTTCATTATTCTGAATATTTCTTCTTCCCCTGGGGTTTGCCTTTTCTTAGTAAACAGGTCACATGAATGTGCCCTAAAACTTTTTTTAAAAAGTTATGTATCGGTATGATTATTATTATTAAGTCTTCTTATTTTTATAGTTTTAAAGTTGCAGTAAACCAGACACTTTATAAATAAATATAAAAAAGGAATTTTAAACTTTCTAGTAAGTGTTTGTTGTTATTTCTTTGTGTAAAAAGGCAAATCAATATGGACTTTAACCTGCTGTCTTCTCCGCATAGCAAAACCTGTTTTCCAGGGGAATAGTGTTTTGGGGAGAAACGTTCTCCTAATTTTGCCCATTTGCTAAACCGCCAGTGGGTTAAAAGTTAGTTAAGTCGCAAGAAGTGAAACAGAATCCTCTCTTAACCCTTTCCCATTTCATTGTATTAAAATGTATGCTTTTTATTTAATTTGGACAATTCTATTTATAATATTAATTAATTCTGTTTATACAGTTATAAAACTTTACAAAAAAAAATTGTAAACTATTAGAACAAAACGTGTGAACTTTAATAATCTATCTATATATATATGTAATACAAAAATAATAAATACTTTTGTATTAATAAAAGAATTAAAACTCTTTCGGTTTCATAAAATGTCTTTGTTAAAGAGTAAGCGTAGAACTATTCTATTTTGGGAATTCAAGGCTGAAAACATACCATTGAATAATAATTAGATTTATATTTGAAAGGAGGAGTTATTTTTAGAATCTTGTCCCTCTTTCACTTCCATATTAGGAAGCATTAAATGATTTCCCATAGTGCGTAGAGTTACAATGGCATGTACGACTGTAACTAATTACACCAATCTCTGTACTATTTAATGCCGGAGCGAAGGTTTTCGCATGTCTGTTGCTGAATAACATGTGCCAATAACCATCTGCTGGAACCATCCGGATTCTTGTCCACACCCCCTCCTTTGAAGAGGGCGGATGTGAACTGTTATAACTACCAGCATACCTGTTAATAAACCTTTTGATAACTTATTATGGTTTTGACTGCATTTCTTAATATGAATACACCAATGATAACAGAGATGTAGCCCTGTTATTACATGCCAACCCGGAAGTCTTATCTTCTCATAAAATTTTAAATGGTAGTAAAATAACAGTTGTGGTAGTAGAATTTGTTTCATTTGCTAACCATTTAACTTTATTGCACGATTATCAGGTTTTATATATTTGTTTAAATTGTTTGTATATAGTTGTAGTTTGCCATTTTGCTTTAGATTTTGGAGTGTTAACTAGTTTTTGGAGCGTTAACTCCACATTTACTTCTCATTTTTTGTGGGGGATTAACATTTTAAGGTATTTTAAATAATAATTTTCTGTTTCATCTAGTAATATGTCTTTTTCTGTTGATAAGTAATTTTATTGTGAAGATATGCGTAATTAAAGTTTATTAACTATTTCTTTTAATTAAAGGTGCGATTCTCCCATCATGTCACATTTCTGGGAATTTTGTATTGGGATGGAATTCACAACTTTAAAGTGAGTTTTTTGTGTATGTAGTATAATTTAATAATGCATTAATGTAAATTAATAAGTGATTTTAGAAAAATATAAGCATTTGTGATCATTATTGTTTTTTCTTCTGTGTGATGTAAAAACTTTGGAATAGATTGCATAATTTCTGCATCAACTGATTAACTAAAATTCATATCTAAAAAAAGATCAAAATTGGTTAATGAATTGTATTTTTTAAAGTTATCTATTTCTAGTTATATTTTAGAAGTTTTTATGAAAATTGTTTTTGCTTTTTATTTCAGATATACAGAGGATGGGAATACTGTTGGCACAGTGGAGGAACTTCCACCTTCACCCATTCGACTGAAATGGGATCTACATCCTGAGGTTTTTATTATTTATTTATTATATTTTTATTTATTTGTGATACTTCTAATTTCTGTATTAATGGTGATGTAAAAATGAAGTGAATTTATGAATGATAATTTTTTTCTCTCCAGTGTGTTGATTTAGTTAGGTCGTCCATGCAGATAGCTAATGCCATCATTGCCGAAGTAGATCTTCAAGTCTTGTACCATTCTGATTATGGGAAAGATTTTATTAAAAAATGCAAAGTTAGTCCTGATGCTTATATACAGATGGTTTTGCAGCTAGCATATTATAGAGTGAGTATATTTTAATGTAATCTGCATTTATACTTACTAAGTGAAATTAGTAGATAATAATGCGAATTCATTATAAATGTTGGACACTTTAATCTGAAAATCTACCAGTAACCTTCACCTAAATTATCTAGCTGGAGGAACAGTAGACCTTTAAAAACTTAGAAATAAACTAATTTTTTTTTAAATCTTTTTATTTCGTGAGCTAGGAACCTAACTCTTGTTTTATGATAGTATTGCATGCAAAGTTTCAGAAAAGAACATTAAAAATATGGTGATAAATTAAGGCATAACTGGGAAAAAATTTGCAATTTCAACAAAATTTTTGATTTTTCTTTTCTTTTTTTATTGTTTGGGTTTGAAATTCTGTTTATTACCTTTCTAAATCTCTTTAAATTTTTATTCTCCTATCTTAAGAATCAAATTTGTAGTTGTTTTTTTTGCATGCTGACCGGCGAAACAGCATAACAATTAGATATTTTAAATGCATTTTGACAAAAAGTGTTGATTTTGAGAAAATCTCTTCGCGTTAACACTCATTACAAAAATAGTGTATTATGGAATTCTTTTGAACTTTCTATGTAGATTTTTTTTATGTTAACTATATTTTGAACTGAAAGCTATGGTCTAAAAGGGAATTTATTATTTTTATTGTACTTAAGCAAAGAATTTTATTTTTTCTTTGAAAAATGAACAGTGAACAATATATTTTGTTGTATCTCATTATATATTTGAAATATTTTAAAGATTTTAATTCCGAACACAAGTAACCATATTATTGATCTAGAATTAAAAAAAATTACTTTGATTTTTATGCATTACAATTTATTGTAGAGCATAAAAAATTTGTTTTTATGCTCAAATTTGCCCTTATTTTGAAAAATATTTAACTTAAATATTTTAGTTTACATTAGGTATACAATTTTAGGTCCCTTGCGTACCAAAACTAAAATTTTAATTTAGGCTATTTTTAAAAAACTTTTCATACTCATTACGCAATTAATGATGGCCTAATTAATAATGACCTTAACACTTTTTTCATCTGTTATTGAAAACTTTGCTTGTGTAGCAATCTTTTAAAAATGATTGCAATTTTTTTTTTAATTCCCAAATAAGCTATAGAACAAATGCTAAATCAAATGATTTCAAAATGTAAGTTATTTTATTAATTTTTTTAAAGCAGAATATTTTGTGTTAGATTTTTCATTTTTTAATCCATGTAAACATTAAAGCATTTCAAGTAATGTTTGTTCTAAATCTTATTAATAAACACTTTAACAAAAATATATTGTAGTATATATCGAGTCACGGTGGCTTAGTGGTTAAGGCCAGGGTTGAGGTTTTCCTTCCTTCCTCACTGGCTCGACAGCCCAGGATGGGCCTTGGCCTTCTCCAGTAGTTTTTTCCAAGCTGTCCTTCTTTTGGCAAGGGTTGAGGTTTTGGACGTCCTAAACTGGTTTTGGACAGTACACGTGGGTTTTACTGTCTTAAACTGGATAAAACTGTCCTAAACTTTATAAAACTGTCTTAAAGTATCCAAAACCTTGAACTTTTACCAAAGTTAAAATTCTATAGGTGTAACCATTGTACACATAATAATTACATGTATCAATAAATAATTGATATTTTTATACAATTTACTTTAACTTATTAAAGGAATATAATATAATATAACAGGAAAAGGTTTATAATTTTTGAAGCTCCACAATTCATTGAACAACAAAAGTGAATACCTAATCCTTTAAATATAAATATGCTTTTAATTCTGATAAATAATGTTTTTGTGCAAGGATAAAAAATGCAATATTAAAAATTAGTAATAATATTTTTAAAAAAATACTATATTTGTTTAAAAATTAACCTTTTATTTCTCACAGTATTTTTTTAAAAAAATATTATAATTTCTGCATCACGGGATGATAAAAAAGACATCTATTTAAAAAAAATTGTTTTTAAATATAAATATATTAGTTTANTTTTTAAAAAAATACTATATTTGTTTAAAAATTAAACTTTTATTTCTCACAGTATTTTTTTAAAAAAATATTATAATTTCTGATGATAAAAAAGACATCTATTTAAAAAAAAATGTTTTTAAATATAAATATATTTGTTTAAATTGGGAATACAAAATAACTGGAAAATGTATTAGCAGTTTTGAAGGGCATAACATCAGTTTCAGTTACTGACACTGGTGATGTATCACCGCTATGCTAAAAAAATTGAACCTGAATGAAATAAAAGTCTTCTTGAATAGTACTATAGATAAATAAACTTGTTTATGACTAACCAAGTACTTAGTCCCTAATAGCTTAACCTGTATGGCAAGGTCAAACTTCAGTTATGTACTATTGAATGAGAGGACCAATTGAATTTGATTACTGATTAATCTTCCTTTGTTTAATGTTTAAATTGAAGAGTCAAACAATATTAATAAAACATTATACTTTTAAAAACAAATATTCTCTAGTAGATTTAATTATCAATATGTTATTAGATCTATGTTTATTTTTCCTTTTAAATATTGTTCAGATAAAATTGTGACATAATTTGTGTAAAAAGGTTTTGGACAGGACGGTTCAAACCGTGGATTAATCCATTCTGTCCTAAACCTTGCCAACCCTGGTTAAGGCACTGAACTGTCATTGTACAGAACTGGGGTTCAATCCTCAGCGGCAGCCTGAAGCCTACTCAACTTCAGATCTATGGGTACCAGCTTATCTGGGAAGTATAGACGGCCTGTGCTCAATGCTGAACACGTTGCCACAATCACATGCCGTTGGTCTCGAAACTGTGGAGCCTTAACCTGCATTACCCTGCTGGCCCACTGCGAGCTATTGCAGGAATGTTTACTTTATAGTATATATCATAAAAATATTGTTATTGAAAATAATATGTTTTTGGATAATATTCTGGACTCAGTATAAAACTTTTTTTTTATTGTAATGTATTACTATATCAGACCTGTTTAAATGCTCTAAACGGTTTAACTTTCGACTTATATGCTTAAAGTTTTCTCTTTTGTTTTCAATTTTTGAGGTTCTTTATTCTTGAGAGAGCAAATCTTTGATCACTAGAAAACTGATTCAATTTTATTTAACATTTTTCTTTTCTTACAATCAGTATCAGGATTGTATGAAAAGTAAGATTTGTTGACATGAATTATTACTGACTATTCGACTATTTTTAATAATAATTTAAAATAACTTTTTGATTATAGAGTTTCCCTTTTTTTTTAAATAGTTTTAGCATTTTATTAACTTATAGTTTGCTCTTATTTTTTGTGTTTTATTTTGTAAACAGGATGCAAAACGATTCAATCTTACATATGAAGCTTCAATGATGAGGCTGTTCCGTGAGGGACGTACTGAAACCGTTAGGCCTGTAACAATGGAGTCTTGTGACTTTGTCCTTGCTGTAGATAACACAGCCATATCGGTAACTATAGATCATTAAATGCTGAATAGTTACCTGATTTTGATTATTTTTTAGTTTAATTTCAAAAAGTTTTAATATTTATTTACTCTGTTTCATTAGGCAACAGAAAAACTTCGTTTATTGCAAAGAGCTTGTTCAAAACACCAAGAATCATATCTTAATGCCATGGTTGGGAAAGGAATCGATCGGCATATTTTCTGTTTGTATGTGGTTTCAAAACACTTAGAAGTAGAGTCACCATTCTTAAAAGAAGTATTGGGTGAACCGTGGAGACTTTCTACTAGTCAGGTTTGAATATTTTTTTGTATCAAAACTACTACAGTACAGAACCTGTTATCCGGAAATCAGAAAACCAAAAAACCGGACAAAATTCGTAAATTTTCCCGCCATTTTAAAAAAAAAAAAATTTTCCTCATAAGATTTCAGGATTTTTCTTTCTTTTTGGAAAGATGTTTACCTTACTATCATTTTGGAAATAATCATTAGTGTATTACTTCGTTTTTTCTTCTTTTTAAGATTATTTCCAAATATAATTTTTTTTAGTTGGGTTTAACAATAAAAAAAAACGGCTTTTGTAAGCGATTCAAAAAATCGGAAAAGTCAGTTATCCGGAATAGCGATGGTCCCGATCGTTCCAGATAATCGGTTCCCTACTGTACTACAATTATTCAATTCCCATTCACTAGTATGTAAAACATGTTGACTCGATTCTATTTTAAGGTACCTTTTGATAGATGACGGCTGACATTGTTAATAGCCAATATCCACATTGGTGACCCGGGTGTAATCTATTTGTAAATGCGACATTGTCCTCTTCACGCTGTTGCTGGTCAATCTTGATCACACGCAGGGAGGGTCCATGAATACTCGACTGCTAATAGCAACACAGGAGCAACAACGTCCACAATCTTAATACAACTTTCAGGACTAGCATTCAAAAGCCCATTGATCTTAATACAGCTCTCCCGGCTTCTCGCAAAACAGCAATGAATGAATGAACACCATGCAATCAACTAGTGGTATCCATTCATCGAATAATATCACAAATAAAATTCTGGTGCGGGAGTCATGCAGAGTAACTACCACCGCAATTATTCAATCCCATACACAAGTATATAAGACACATTAACACTATTAGAAGTACCTTATGATAGATGACGGTTGACATTGTTGGAATGCTCTGCCCACACTTTTTTCTATTCCTCTTTATTATTCCTGAAAAATTTTTGATATTTTTACTCTTTGCGTGTTTTATTCATGAATAAATTTTCATATTTTTGTCTTGCTTATTTTTATATTCATATGCCATTGTCATATTTTTACTCTTTACTTTTTTTATTAATGAGCAATTTTGGTTTTTTTTTTTTTTTTTTTTTTCCTGCTTATGAAAAATTTTGCATAATTTTTCTCCTGGAAATTTTTTTCTTTAACTATCTATTAATAAACAATTTTGCATGTTCTTTCTCTCCTCGCTCCATTTCAAGAACAAATTTGCAATTTTTCTTTTCAGGAACATATTCGAATTAATTTACTTATTCTATCTTATTTTGTATCTTAAATATGCAAAAAATAACAAATTATTATCTTTCCTATTTATAAATGATTTAATGATTTTTGTAAATAAAGGCTGAATTATATTATTAATAAGTTAATACTGATTTCTTATATTTACTTTTTTTTGTTATTTAGACACCTCACAATCATGCTGGTATATTAGATACCAAGAAATATCCACAATATGTTTGCCTGGGTGGTGGATTCGGTCCAGTAAGTTTTAGTAATTTTTTATTTGCTAATTTTTGCTTCTAAAAATAAGATTTTAAAAAAAATTATAATATTATTATTCCCAATTATAATTATATCAAAAATTCAACACATTCTTAAAATATTGAAATGGTGCCTGTAATGTTTTTGTTAAAAATAAATTTAAAAAAAATTGTCAAAATATATTTTAACTACCTAAAGTTACTATGAATTAAATAAGATATACACCCAATTACATAATTTTTTGTGTGAAATCACAGCGCCATCTTCATGAAGTCTCCTGCGACCGGCTATTATTGAAAAGCTTTAGCTTATCTAAAAAACAATTATAAAATTCCAGAGATAGCTGGTTGATACGAATTCTGCACTCGGCGCGCATCGACCACAGTGCTGTCATAAGATATCCTCAGTGGTAGAGGGATGATGGGTTAAAATCCTCTTGCAATCAAGCTAACCGTGAAAAGTTTTCGTGGTCTTCCTTTCCGTGTAACGCAAATGTAAGTTAGTTCCATCAAAAAGTACTCCAGGAAAGCAAATTTCTCCCAATACTTGATCAAGGAGTTCCCTTGTCTTCTGGTTTGGGTTCAAAGTTACAAGGTTACGTAGTTGAACATTAGCTGTTGTAAACCCAAAATTGGGTTGTCTGTTCAATGATGATTATAAAATAAAATCTAAAGATTAACAAATCTGTATAGTATTATGAAACAGTATGCAATATTTTCGGACAATAGCTGAGACCAAAACACTTACCTGTAAATCAAAAATCTGTTGCATCAATTGCTGTTTCGGGAGACCAATAAGAATTATCTCATGATGGTCTGTGTAAAATTTTAATGGTCTTACACAGAGTACCTTAGATTTCCAACCCAACATAAAGCATTAGGGAGATTCCATAATTCTAAGGATAACATAACAAAACAAAACAAAAAAATCGTTTACTTGCATTCCTTCATTAGCAAATTTCTTAGTTTTTTATTAACTATTTTAGATATAAAACCAAAAATTTTAGTTTCTAAGTAATTTGTAATAATAAACTTTTATTACAATTTTAATTTAGTATAATTTTTGCAACCCAGCAATTTTCCTCTTTCTATATGTTTTTTCTGTGTAACATTTGTAATTTTCTTCTCTTTTTAATGCATAATAATATTAAGCTATTAAAAATTATCTGTTATAATTTTTAAAAAATATTAAATATTTATCTATGAAAAGAAAAAGATTAAAAATAAGAAAACTTATCAAAATGTAACATCAGTCACCACAAAATTGCCATTACATCTTTTGATATTATCGCACAATCGACCTCTAATTTTCCTCTGAATGAAAGAAAATTTTATCTTTGACAGAATAGTTATTTAGAAGGCCGATTGTATTACCAAAAAGTTGGTGAAGGATGGATTGGGAAGCAGATATTTCATTAAGTCTGTGGAAATTAGCACGATTAACCAAATGCATTCATTTGGTTTAAAAGGATGTATTCCCAAATTTTTTTCAAAGCTTACAGCAAATTTATCTGTTATATTTCTCTTGTTTCAAAATTTTATATTACCTGTTTGAGACTTATTAATCTCCTTAAGTAACATGTAGTATTCACTTCTTGAGTTAGTTTTTGTGTAGTAAAAATGGCTGCTCTTAACTAACATTTTTTTAATGTAAGTTGCTATTTTAAAAGATACTTACATTGATATATTATCATTTTTAAAAAAATTGTTGCATCTTTAAATTATATCAATGCTTTGTCAAAACCATTTCAGTATTTCTCAATTATGAATAATTAGCTATAATATGTTTATTGAATTACAACACACATTATGAAGTCCATTTTGATTGAGACTATATATATAAAGCATTTGCTGTAAAACATTTATGTGACCTATAGAAATAATATTATTTTCCAATATAGGTTGCTGATGACGGATATGGTGTTTCATATGACATAGCATCAGAAAATGTTATGTTTTTCCATGTTTCCAGTAAAAGAACATCACCAGAAACAGTAAGCCTGCAATTTTTATTTTTTATTTTTTTTACTTTAATGTGTATTTTTACTACTATTTTTATGCACAATAACAGTATGTGTAATTGTGTAAGGATTGTATTATTGTAAGTGGGTAACTTTTAAATAGTTTTAAATCGAAATTGTACTGAAGCAAAAGAACTATTCCATATAAATTCTTGTGTAAATGCTTATTGTATGTTAGTAATATTTATTTTTGAAAAACACTATATGCAAAATCTAGAATTGTACAATTTAATTTACCACTATTATATATGAAAGTTTTTTGTGCCTATAATGAAGCGATTTGGTGTGGGTAGCAAATTTAAGATAACAAAAACAGGATCATGAAAGTGACAGTTGGTGAAAGCTAGATCATGATCTTAAATTTTTTTTATTCAGTAGTAGTTGTAGAGCTTGAAATACGAAATTAAAAGAACTTTTTATTCAAATTACTTTCTAAATGAAATAATGAATTTTGCATAATAATATCAGCAAGGAAAGACCATGAGAGATAAATCCCCTATGACCTGACTTGTCAAAAGCCAAACTAAAAGTGTTTAATCAATGCTTTCTAGTACTGGAGACATCTATTATAGGCGCATTATTAAAAAAGGACACTGCCGAAAAAAAAGCCAATTCAGCCAACCTCATGATATCTCATGTTAATATTTAAATAGTTTGGCTACACCTTAATTACCCAAAATGACCGTGAGAAATTAATGTAACCAGGCATGTGATTTTCCCCCCTAATTGGTGGACTTCTGCTAATCTCTTGATTCGTGGATATCCAGGAATCAAAAATTTATTTTCCAGCAGAATTTTCTGAAAGTCCTGCTAATCTGAAATTTAAATTTCATAACTTTCGCAAAATTCCGGTATCAGGATTTTTTTTTCTTTTCCTCTCTTACCAGCGCCCTCCTTTTTTTCCAGAAGTTCTGCTACATCACGGAACTGAAAGACAAATTTTTAAATAATTCATAACGCAAGAAATACATCCAAAAATCACAAACATTTAAGAGAGCATTTAGTGTTCCCAAAAAATGGTGTTTTTTCATTTTTTTTTTTAATATAAATTTTATAAACTCAGATTTGTTACTAAAGAATTATTAAATTAATTAGACAAAGCATTAATGATGATGAATTGTAAAATAATTAGAAATATGCATGGCACAAAGAAAAAATTAGTGTGTTTTAGCAATTGGTGTAAAAAATATGCATGGTTTTGTTTAGCAGTAAAAAATGATGAAATGATGAAAACATCTGCTTGTCTGAACAAAATCTTGTTGAAACTAAATTTGCTTGAGTTTGTATTTTTTCCCAACATTTTGAGATATTTAAATTATTTAATAATAAACAAAGTTAAATTAAGATTTATTATTTTTTCTTAAATATCAAATTTATAGATCTATAGACAAAGCATTAATTATGATGATGTGTAAAATAAATAAAAATACTCCAAGTAGCATGGCTCCAAAAAAAAATTAGTCGTGTGCCTTAGCAATTGGTATGAAAAAAATAATAAAATGAGGAAAAATGTTTTTTGTTTTTTTAAGAAAAGAATAATCTATTTTTGCTATAATATGTGGGCCATTCTCATGGAAAGTGAGCTAAAAATTTTTGAAAATAGCACTGCACTGTATTGATTGGTCAAAAAACAGTCCAATCTTGAAATGTTTCTGAAGTGGCTCCCATGAATTTACGTATTTGAGGGTTTTTTAGTGACTGATTGCTACTTTGAAATAAATGTTTCTAAACTTTTTTAATCGGTGTTTGTTTCGTTTTGCAGGACACAACACGCTTCATTGATCTTATTGAGAAGTCTTTGAGTGATGTGAGGCAAATCTTTCTGGACAGTGTGGCAGAAAAGTGAACTCAATGTCATGCAAGATTTGTATAACTGCCATTATCAGATTTGCATTTTAGATCGTTGGGACTAAGGTTTACATTTGCTTCACAATACTGTTTTTATTCTAGAGAAAGCTTAGCTTGGAAGCAATTGAAGGAGAAATCTTTGTGTTGCACATATTTCTTTGCTACATTTCCTCTTGATGTGACATTTTTTCTCCTGAACTAAACCTGCTGATCAAAATTACATATGGATACACTTTGAATTAGCATTAATATAATGAACTGTACTTAATGATATTAACTGGAAGAAAAAAAATTCTGTGATTATAGGAATTTTTTCTTAATAGTCAATATTTTTACCTTTACTTAATATATTTACATTCATACTTGTATAAATAGAAATTCATCTATGAAAATGTATCTTTTTTTATACACTCTACATAAAAATTTCTCCAATGATTTTGTGCTAAGAAATATTTAATTTTCGTTACATGATATTTAAATAGTATTTTTTATTACTTTTAAGTATTTTACTTATTTAAAAAATTGACAAATTTACCCTTTTTATTTAGAATTGGAGTACGGTTTAAATGATACTTTTAGACGCTGTTTTTATTCACTTTTAAGCTATCTTAGCTCTTAGAGTTTTAAAAAAATGCTTCTTCTTTTTCCTTTTTTTTTTTTTTTTTNTTTTTTTTTTTTTTTTTTTTTTTTTTTTTTTTTTTTTTTTTTTTTTTTTTTTTGCTAGTAATATTCAAGAGTTTAAACATTTCAGCCTGTTAATCAGAGAATAAAATTTTGTTTAAATTCATTTTACGATGGGGACTTCTTTCTTTATAGTAATTTCCCTGTTGAAACAGTTAACTATTTTTTACTCTGACATTTTTTTAATTGATTCTAAAGATACTCTTGTGTATTAATCAAAAAGAGAAAAAAAAGATTTCCAGTTCTATTTGTTCATAATAGCCCTCATATTTTTCAAACATTTTTATTAATTTTCTATGCAAGCATGCGTAATTAATTATCTTGTTTTAATATATTCTTAAACTATAATTTTTTTACATTAAGAACTTTTCTAATTAAATGAAGAAAGGCGTTTTTTTTATTTTGTTAATATCTATTGTGATATTGCTTTATTGAACAATTTTACTATTTTTTTCAACAATGGGATGATAACTATTTTGTTAATAATTGCTTTTTTATACTTTAAGAAAATTAATTTTTAAAACAAAGATGTGCATTTTTATATGATTATATTAAATTCTGATGATATTATTATATTTATTAAGCGTTTTTGCAACTTCGCTCATAGTTGTCTTGCCAATTAAAATTTGTTTTGCATCCTTTATAGAAATTAGTTTTGTTGAAGTGTTTGTCTTATTTTGTTATAATCCTTGCTGATAATGCTTTGTTGAACGTTTTTACTATTTTTTTACATAGCTGTCTTGCTTATAAAAATTATTTTTTGGACCTTCAGAAATTAGGTTTTGTAATTACATTTAAAAGAATAAAAGAAAAACTTAATAGTTTAGTTTGTTGCATTATCTTATCCCTAGTGATATTTATTACATTCTTTGGTACTTTTCCATTTCGCCAGCGCAAGCGATAAAGTTGCTAATAAAAAGTCACTGGCTTTAAGTATATTCAACTTTATTTTATTTATTTTTTTTTTGGTGATGAATATTTAAAAGAAATAGAAAAGTATCCATTCTTCTAACCCATTAACTATTTTTTTTACTCAAGCATAATTTGCTTTTAAATTGTTTTCATGATAGTTTTCTTTCCTTAAAGAAATAACTTTTTCAATTAAATAAAAAAGAATTATTATAATTTATGGTGATTATGCTTAATTAAGCATTTTCAAAAAACTTTTTGACAATAATATGTAAAGCTACCTTGCTAATAAAAATTTGTTTTCATAATTTAAAGAAGTGTATATCATCTTAAATGATTATAATAATCATATAAAATTAATTATGAAAACTCGTTTTATTTGAATAATTATATCCATTGTGATATTTATTACATATTTCATAGATTTTTTTACAGATTATTTTGCATACACTGCTGGTATGCGATAGATAGGAAATATTAGTTCCAAAAAAAAGCACAAACTACTACTTGAATTTTACGCAATATAATTCTTTGTATTTCTATTAATGGATTTAATTTAAATGCTGCAAAACTTGCCATACAATGCAGACAAAAGTGCAGAAAATTTTAGTCTTTATTTCTGAATGCTTAGTGTTATTTTCCTTAAAGTGCACATATATTTGAAGTGTTCACTCTGGAAGTCTATAAATTTTGGAGAGTATATCAAATAATAATTAGAAATTTTATTCGCATGTGATTTTTTTTTTTATGTACATAATTTGTGAACAATTTAATACCAGATGCTATTTCAACTTATTTTTATTCAATTTTTTGTATTTTTCTCAACAGAGTCAAATAATATCTTATTTAAATTCAGTATCCCTTTAATTTTTCACTTTATAAAATCGCAAAAGATTTTTTAAATTAACTTAACAAAAAATAGAGTTGGTTATGCATAATTATAAATTATAATTTCAGTTAATAATTTTTGGTGTATTAAAAAATTAATAGTACAATCCAGTTACTTAGTGATATAACCTTTATCGTCTTTTTGCATTTAAGAAAAATGCCTTTTATATTCTTTACAATTCACTTATAATATTTTTTAAAGTTTGCTTCTGTATTCAAAATTGTACTCTTATGACTGTTAATGCAAGTTAGCTGTGCAAAAAAAGCTAATTTTTATTCTTCTAGACAATGTGTTGAGTTGTTTTTGTCATTGCTTAAATATTCATATTTGTATGATTTTTACATTCCATACAATTACATTCTTTTTGTTGCAATCTTTTAATAATTTTGAAGCAAAGGTATTTGTTTTCATCATCAATAAAGCATTTATAGAAAAGCTTATAGTTGTATGTATTGACTCATTTAGTTACAGTGGAATTCTGATTATCTGTGTGGTTTGTCTGTCTTTCTTTTTGCTTTGCATGAAATAATACAATTTCTAAATACTTACTAATGTTTGGTTCGGAAAAGATTGTCTCATAATACTTTTATCCCATATTGCTTTGTTCATTAGTGATTCTGTTTCCCCCATGCTTTGTCTGCATGAGATCCACCCTCCAAATATTTCAACCATATGGATGGGGAACTAAGTTTAAACTATAATAGCATTCTATAACTGAAACAAAATTTTGAAAACTTTCTGTGTATCCCTTCGCTTGTGATATGCCGATATTCGAAAGCTTTATTATTGATATTGTAATTAATTTGGCAAGTAATTTTACTATTTGTGAGATTTTTTGTGTTTTATAACTTTTAAAAGGCCATGAGCCAAAAATCGATTTAAGAAATAAATGAAGTGTAAGGCTCAATGTTTTGAATGTTCTCTTCAGTTTTTTGTCTTTAGCTGAAATTGAATGGTAAATAGCGTAAGTTGCATTGCAAACAGTACTAGTCCTATAACAAATATAGTATGGTGGGGTTTTTTTTAAAATTAAGGCATAAAAATAATTCAGAATTAAAATCTTGGATGTTTTGTTACTAATTTACTAGCGCCAACTATGCATAGTTTATATGGCTCTTCTATCATAAATTTCTATCTCATGTTGAAGACTTTAGTGGAAGAAACAGGTAAGTGACATTTTAATGAATTTGAAATGAGCCTTAAAATTTATATGTTAAGCGTTTTTGTTACTTCGCTTAATCTTAGTTTCTAGTATATTTTTGAAAACATAATCTTGACATTTTTGTGAGTATATTTTTTAGACCCTAGCTCTTTTATAAAGGAGAATTTTTAATGATTTTTGTGTGCAGCACCTGCTTGGAGGATTAAGGATCATTATGTTTTTCAACAAATATATAATCGTGTTTGAAGAATTAAAACATGTAGTCTCGAATATATTCACAAAATAAAATTTGAGCAACCTTAATTTGGAACAGCTGGTATCAAATTCTATCTTGCCTTGCTAGTTCAAAAACAATTCAGAGGCAGCATGCGGAGAAAATGTTTCATTATTATTTATCACTTTGATTGGCGAAAATTCCGTAATTAATGTCATTTTTTAAATAATGCTGATGTTATGTTATTTCGTTACATGTAAAGAAAGGCTAGACTGAATAAAAGTATTTATTTGTTAGTTTTATTGCAAATTCAATTTTAGTTTTAATTTTGTCATTAAAAATTAGCAGTTGCATGCAAAATGAAATTTTTTCTTTAAATATATAAAACTGTTTCGGGTATTTTTTTCTATCGTAGTCTACTACGATAGAAAAAACATGTTTTTTTTTCCATAATTTAGATACCACTTCTCAAATCTGGCATTGCTTAGCCATTCCGCTCAGTATGCTAGCTCCTTTTTTCAATTTCTTAGCCTTGAATTTAGTAGACAAGAAACCACCTGTTTAAAAAAACCAGGTCACATTCATCTTCGAGAAGAAATAATTTTTAAGAGAAACTAATCTGCACTGGCTTTAAATGGAGGTAGAAACCAGGAAAACTTCTGGTAGTCCAGTCCAATGCCTATGGAGCTCTGTTCTTTCTTTAATAAAGTATACTTTCCATCAGCAATGCACTTTCTGTGGGCAAGGAGTAAAATAAAATTTTACCTTCTCTCTCTGTAATTCGTTAATTTGCAAACTTGATCTGTCTCCATTGAACCATGCCAATTTTTATAAAGAAGTTAACATTATTTTTGTCAATTATAGATATCTACGCTTAACATTTTGGAAGGAACACTTAATCTCTTGTTATTTTCAATTTAAAAATAATTATCCGGAAAAAAAAATTTGCGTGGCCTACCTCTTTGCCAGATTTAAATCCGCTTGATCATTTTATAGGAGGTATATGCTCTCAAAGATTGGAAGTACCGAAGGATTTACTGCCGAAAAATTCAAATAACGTTTGATACAGATTTGGGATCAAGTTCCAGGAGCAGCAGTGCCTGCCAGCTGTTATGAGTTTTTCAATCGTTTGTGATGAATTTTAATCGTAATCAGTAAATATATGAGCTTACATGTAATAAATGAATCGATTGTCGTACAGAGATGTAAAAATTGAGAAAAAAGGATTTTTGAATATTTTTGTTTTTCATTGCTCAAATGTGGAACCGTGAAGCAATGCAGTAGACTTAGCAGATATATTGATTTCGGATATAAACTGCACGTAAGCAGAAAATACTTCAGTGATTTATAAGTATTTGTTGGTTATTAGGAAAGAACTATGAAGTAAAAAATAAACTTTATTGGCGATATTTTCGATAAGCAAAAAATGCATCATTTATGCATTTTATTTTAAAGCCGTCGTTGAACAACCATTAGTAGTCGTAAACCCAATTTTTTGGGTTTACGACTACTAATATTCAACTACATAGGGGCCGTTCAAAAAGTACGTACATCCCGAAGGGGGGGGAGGGGATTCGCTATTTTGTACGGTTTTGTACGATGGGGAGGGGGGGTGGTATTATACAAAGTACGTACACTATAAGCATACACCAAATTTAAATTTGACTTTTTCCTACACACTCCTTAAATAAATATTTAATTTTATTTAAAACAGAATTATTTTAATTTTTATGAAAAAGGGGGGTAGACTAATAAAATGTACGTACTCTAAGGGGGGGAGTAAGACCTTATGTACGGTAATATACGAAGGGGGGGAGGGGTTTAAAATTTCTCCATTTTTGTGTACGTACTTTTTGAACGGTCCCATAGCCGTGAAATTTTGAACCCAATCCAGAAAACAAGGGAGCTTCTGGATCAAGTACTGGGAGAAATTTACCTTCGTTGAGGACTTTTTGATGGAACTAACCCGCATTTGCGTTATATGGAGAGGAAGACCGTGATAACCTCCCACTGTTAGCCTAACGGTAAGGGGACTCTAGCCCATGCTCAGTCTACCAGTGAGGATATTTCACGTCAGCACTGTGGTCGGTGCTGCGAAATTCGTGTCGAACAACCATCGCTTGGATACGAACCCGGTTCACTTTATTGGAAGGTAATTGACTCATTGTTGCTTACGTTGATTTTTCGATTGCATGGCACTATAGAGAGTTCTGCTCTACGCCATCTGTAGCCCATTTTAATAACCAATAACTAATTTAAAGTATAGAAAAAGTGAGTTCAGTTCAGGCACACAATAAAGTTTCAATTGCTGAAAAAAATACTAAAATTATCAAAATGCTTGTAAATTATTGGAAGAAAACTTCCCGATTGCGTAATCCTAAGTTATCCTTTCATAGTTTGCTTTCATTCTGATATTTTGAAAATTTCGTTTCAGTGATTGAAGCTTCATGGCTTACTGTAGGTTTTTCTGAACTTTCTTTTTTTAAATCTTTAAATTATAAATTACTTATTTAGGGAAAAGAAAATTTGCGATGAAAAGTTTCTTCTACTCGTATAGCGTACTCTAAAGAGATGTCAACAATATCTTACTACTTCTCAAACAAGGTGGAAAAAAAATTATTTACTGCTTTTTCTATAAGTGAGAGAAATCTGTGAAAAAAAATTATGTTCATATTCTAAGCAATACATAATAAACATTAAATTTTAAAAATTTCCGTGTTAATTTGAAAATTCAGAAAGTAAGATTCTGTTCCCTTTTTAGCGTTATCGATTACTCGTGGGAAGGGAGAATCTGCTAAAATTCAGTAAATTGCAATATTGTTTTCGATTGCTGAACTCTTTACCTATGGCAACACTTAGCATGCTTTCCTCATTAGCGTGTGAAGAGTCATAGAAGAAGGAAGTACGTTAGCTTCTGTCTTTAGTTTTATATAGATTAAAATCTTTTAAGTTGGGAAACTATATGGAACTGAAAACAACATTAAACTTAGTTCTAAAAGAAAGCATCATGGAAATTTTAAAAAATATTTTTATTAATCAAAAATGAAAAATATTAAGAAAAGGAAAAATATCGTAGTACATTCCTATACAACTGAAAAGAGGAGGAGAGGGTAAGGAGAAGAGCCAAAAGCATGGGACCGGTCTTCTCCCCAGATGGTGTATTCGAGCGATGCGATCGCCAATCTTGAGACTAAGAAAATCAATAATGAATTTATTTGATAGAAACAAGGAAAATCAAAAGCTAATTTGCTTAATGGTAAAATTTTCAGCAATTTTCCCAAATCCATCTCCTTACCCACTAGTAGCCCGTTGTCCCGCAGTCGACTGATCGTAAAATCACGGCTCCCAGTAGAACACCGAAGCTTAGCATCACTGGTTGCGGTCATTAAGTATTTGAGTAACCGCTTTGATCAGCCTGTGTGGGTACCAAGAGTGACCGATATCGCTTCTCGTTCTACCATGCAGTGCTCGACTTCGCATAGATCGTCGAGCCACCAAGGCCGAGTAACCATCCCCTCTGCAGAGGATAAAAATTGTGATCGTATATCTTCAGATCCTCCTCCGGGATGTTTCACAGACCGTAGCCAATAACCAATTATGCAGCTGTAGTGCGACATAAATAAAGTACCTGCCAACCATTTTACAGTACTGCAATTATAATTCTCAAAATCAGGTAAACTGAAAGCTAACTGTGAAATTTCAAAATTTAATATTTTACAGTGAACTGATCGTAATGACACGATTCCCAGTAGAACACCAAAGTTAAGCATTACTGACCAGCGATCAGTGAGAGAGAGAGTAGTGGACCATTTAATGAGCCTGCAATGGGATCAAGAATACGCGGTATCGTTTCTCGTTAAACTGTAAAGTGATCGGCTTCACACGCAGTTCGTCGGGCTACCGAAGCGGAGGAGCTATCCCCTCTGCGAAGATCAAAATTGTGATAACAGATGGTCATCTTTATGAATCTTTACCAGAGCATTGCACCAAGTATAAGAGTAAAGTATTACTACCAATTGAAAAATTTGCCTATCAGATTCTCATTAGTGGACGAGTTTTTGTTGAGTGTGAATATCTTTATTGACATCACCATTTCCTTTAAAATTTATGCATTTTAATAAAATGAAACATTTTTATAGTTGTTATTTAAAATTTAAATATTAATTCCATCCAGCTTCTTTTCCATCCAGCCATGTATGCAAAAATCGGAGAATATTGAGCCAACGGGAACGGTGCTTTTCAAATTCAGCAGATGGAATTATTTTGAATCTGGCAACCAATAAACTATATATACAGAAAATTTAGCGTCACTTTGCCATTTTCTTTCAGTCTTCGGCAGTGCAAGGTAGACGTATGTGACTCTTAGTCAGCCTGTCGAATATTTCATTCCATTATCATTTCATTAAGTAAGGGAATTATTCATGCTTAATTTTTATTTGTAAATTAATTTGAAATGTTGTAGGTTTCTTTTTATTTAATTAAGAATACCGTTTTAGAACGAAATTTAACATTATTCAGTCAAACGCATTCGTGTACTTATAATAATTCACTTACCTACTGATTATCTAGATCTGAATTTATGTTTTTAGCAGCATTTCTTTAATTATCCCGATTTATTTCGGATAATTTAAAAAAATTTAATTTGTCAAGTTTCTATTTTGTATTTAAAATGATTCGCTATTTTCAGAATCAAAAGTGCGTAGTAGTATTTCAGTCTCCTTATCAGCAATTAAGTTAATTTATTTTCTGCTTTCAGGATTTTTAAAATCCTAAATACTCTACGAATCTAATAATCTATAAATTTTTTTTTGTTTCTTCGTAGTTCTAAGTATTATGATTGCCTTTCGTTCCATTAATTTTTTTTTGAAGAGTAACACGTCATTTTATTAGAAATCTGTAAAGGCGGTGTGCGCAGTAACGTTATGACGCATTGCGGTAAGTTATAGATCGATAGCTGAAGTAAGCTAATGCGCGATCGTCAAATCGATTTTTTATCCAGAATTCTATCAGGCTTAAATCAATTAATTTTTGCCTTTTAAGTTGAAGCTGAAATATTTGAATGCAAGAAATGAAAGTTTCACTCTTCTTATAAATTAATTTCAACCTTGTTGGGTATTTTTTAAGGCAGCAGAGTTATCTGCGATTAAACGGTATTGAAAGTTGCAATAGATTTTTAATTTTGCGGCATTATCCACAGTAGTCCCTTGGATCAATTTTTATAACGAAGTGAAATTCTTAGTTTTTTTTTTCTTCATTCTATTATGAATATAAGAACTCTGCCAAATGTTAATTCTTTCTTACCTTATTTAACAGGGTTCATGCACCTGGAAAGTCATTAATTTCGGTAATGTACAAAATTTGTCATGATTTCAACTATTTAAAAAAAAGAAACGGGCATGGATTTAGGTCGCCGATAAAAATCTAAATTTTAAAATTGAATTTACCCTCCCCTCCAATTTCATGGTGTTCTGAATTTCTAACAAAATCCCCACTCACAATATTTTATTAAAATATAAAATACTTTATCATGTATCTTATAAATTATGGTGTTCTTACAAAATATGGAAGAAAGAATTGAGATTTTTTTTTCCTAACAAGTCCAAATTCTAGCTAAATAACACAAGCCAGTCTTAGGCAATTTTTTTTATTTCGTAGTGAGAATGCAAAAAATCAGGTGTGTTTCTTTCCTCTTCGATGAGGAATAAAATTATCTTTAGAATATATTTCTGCAGAAAAAAAATTATTTGCTTTTGTGATTTTTTTTCAATTCTTTTTATTGCTTCAATTCTTCACTGAGTTTTTTAAATTTAAAATCTATAAATGTGAAGATGCAGAGTATAAGTTTTGGTTATACCTATCATTTCGATTAATGTTATTATAATGCTTTTTAAAACTATTTGTTGGAAGAAGATAGTATTCAATAAGTCATGACAAATTACAAGAATTTTTCATGACTTATTGAATACTATCTTCTTCCAACAAATAGTTTTAAAAAGCATTATAATAACATTAATCGAAATGATAGGTATAACCAAAACTTATACTCTGCATCTTCACATTTTTAAATTTAAAAAACTCAGTGAAGAATTGGAAAAAAATCACAAAAGCAAATAATTTTTTTTGCTTTTACCTTTTTTGCTGGCCATAATTTTTTTTGCTGGATTTGAAAGTCTAAAATGTTGTAGTTACCCTGTTTGAAATCGTGTTTGTTCCTTGTGTGTTGACTTGTTTTAAAGTTTGCTGTGCTGACTTAGCCTTGATGTTGCGTCAGTAAAGATATTTCAATATTTGATTCATATTATGTTCAGATGGATTAGCACTAAACTTTTATTAAATTGCCATTGTTTTATTATTCTAGGTAACTACTCATCTCATCTGTGCTACCATGTCTCAACAATTTTGTTTAAAATGGAACAACCATATGAACAATATGATGGATGTTTTCAAAAGCCTCCTCTCTACCGAAACAATGGTAGATGTGACTCTAGCTTGCGATGGTCTGAGCTTAAAGGCGCACAAAATGGTTTTGTCAGCTTGTAGTCCTTTCTTCCAATCCTTGTTTTCAGAAAATCCCTGCCAACACCCAATTGTGATATTAAAAGATATGAAATATACAGAACTTAAAGCTATTATTGAGTTTATGTATCATGGTGAAGTGAATGTTGCTCAAGACCAATTGTCTGCTCTCATGAAAACAGCAGAGACACTTAGAGTGAAAGGTTTAGCTGAAGTGACAAATGAGAAAGATTCTCAATCTAATAACTCAGCTCAGGACGAACCTACTCACAGATCTGTTCCTAGGACGGATTCGCCCCCTCAGAGTAAAAGGAGAAGAGGTCGAACACGTAAACGGTCTCTTAGTGACTCTAATCGTAGTGATGATGACTCTAACGAGCCTAAAATCAAACAACCAATGTCTCCGGACATTGAAGAACTATCTGGTGATGTGACGATGGACGTTTCTAGTTCTCAGTTTTCTAGTTTGCAATCTCAGGTGCCTATGCAATCTACCCCCTCACATAGTTCGAACACTTATAAAACCTCATCTGTGATATCTCATGATCCTCATGTAGAAGAACCAACCTCTGCTGATGAAAGTGAGTTTGGGGTTGAGCCTACTAAGCTCCTGGAACAAACATTAACAACTGAAGAGGTAAGTTCAAGAAAATGCTTTTAGTGTGATTCCATAACAATAATGTATACTAGTAGCATTATTTAATTTTTTATTAAATGCGTAAACTTATACATTGCAGCTCAATGCTAGGAGAAGGTCTTCAAATGTTGAAATGCAGAGGAGGCCTAGAGGTAGCACAGATCATTCTACAATAGTGCCAACATCTATGTCAGATACATCTAATCAACAACCAGATAGTCCAGTTGGTAAGAATTAAATTGTTAACTTTTATTTCTGATGGCACAATTGACAGCCACAATTTTGGATCTTAAATTTTATTTTTAAATTCTGATGTTTTGCATTTTAATGGAATAGATATTTTGTAAATATGAAATTTCACTTGATAGCTTTTGAAGCCATAATTTGATTATTTCCTCAGAATGAAGTATTAAATTTACAAGGAACTGAAGGTTTTAGGGATTTCTCTTATTTTTTTGGTAGGAGGGCGAGTGATTTAATTTTATAACTATGAATTATGATATAATGTAAAATTGGTGCTATTTGTGTTTAAACGATCTGCTGGACAAACTAGTCTCCACATGAGTATAAACTTGCCTGTCCATTTTTATAAGAAATATACAGGTTGATCCTCAGGTAGCTACTAGTTATACCCTTTGAGTTAGTCCCCTTCTGTGACTTTTTTTTTTCTGAGACTTTTCTGCTGCAGATTTTATGAAAATCATCCCTAAATCATTAAACCTTAATTTTGTTCTATTTGTATTCTTGTTCTGTGAAACTTATTTAATTTTTAAATGTAAATAAATCTTGTATAAAAGTTAAATTTTTCTTACTCTGGATATGCTTAAAAGTTACCTATGTTGTGTAATGTTAAAGCAGCAATTAGGTCATTTATAACACTGTTAACTGATAATATTAAAAATCTTATGTCGATTGATAGTTAATTCTTTAACATTTATCTGGACTGATCAAGTATCAATGCACTTGTAGTTATTAACTATGTATTCAACCTATTTTATTAGTTATATCTAAACTCAGATTTGTCTCTTTTTATTGTATCTCTTTTGACGTGTTATTTTTGATTTTTAGATATTAAACCAGAAGTATTAGACTTAGAACCACCTATGTCCACTCCAGGACCCTCTCATAGTAATGATAATGCTATGATGGTCTATATGGATCAATCGAACTCTTCTCATCCAGGGCCGAGTGGTTACCAGGATAATTCAGCCCTGGTACCACAGGACTCTCAACAGCAAGGTAATTATCATGCCGTAATGACTTATTGTTAAATTCATTTGGACTTAGGAGGATGTTTTTATGAATTGAATTAGGTTGCATCAACATCTTGACAAAACTTGTCTTCATGCAGAGTTCAGCGTGTACTTTTCTTTATCTTATTATTGGAATAATTTTTCCATTAAATTTATTTGCTAATAAACTAATCATTACTATAGCTGCCTGAGATTTACTCGCGAAATCAAAAGTCGATAATCCACAAAGTATGGCATATTTTTGTCATTTAGAATGTGTCTGAAACTGCTAAATCTGAATTCTTATTCTCGTGATTTTAGTGACAATCATAAGTTGTCATATTTACTTGATTTAAAAGTTGCGCTTTAAGATTTTGTATTTACCTAATTAAAATGTACATTGTGCTTTCTATCCGCATAGTTAATATCAGACAGCAGTTTGTTTTCTCCTGTTTTTAAAATCAGATTGTGGTTTGTATTCACACAATTGTAATATCAACAATAAATTTTTGTATTTGTACACAATTAAAAACTAAAGAAAGTTTTCCTTTAATTAGTCAAGAGTTTTTCGCTTAGTCACAATGAGCTTGTCATGCATGTTTCTGTTACTAAGAAGTTGGCAGCTATGCATTACATAAGTTTATAAAAAATTAAAGAAATTTAATTTAGATGCAGTTATTTTAAAATCTAAAACATCTTAAAAATCTAAAATAAAGATAATCTAATTCAGAAATACCTTGTCAATGTGAAATGATTAATTTCATTTTGCATTATTTCAAGTGCATAGAGACAAGTTTGTAAGGTATTGATAACTTAAATATAAGGCTTTTACCTACTTGGTCTGCTGTAATTTTAAATTTCAGCTTTTTATAAATAGTAAAATACCTGAGTATTTTACATTAAGAGTTTTAAATATCATCTCTGCCAACAACACCCTTACATCTTATTAAAATTTTCAATGTGAATGTTTTATATTTCAAAACTAGAAAAATATAATCCTTTAAAAAAATATTTTTATGAAGTAATCTTACTGAGAAAAAGCTCTAAATTTTGTAAGATGTTAAGTATATCAGTATCATTCATATTTTATTTCAAGGAAAGTTATTGCTCTGGTGGATCAAAAGTTCTAACATGCTAGTTTGAATTGAGCAATTAGGTCTATAAAGGGTTAACAGCTTCTCTTTGATTTTTATATTTTTAAGAAAAATGCAAATAGAAATTAAGTACTTGCTCACATTTTTATGTATTTTGAAGAATTAAATTTATTGAGTGTCAATTGGTTTACCTAAGTGTCACCTAATGAAAATGCAATGAAGTTTAATATTCTTAAAAATAATTTTCTGGTACATTATTTCTTAAAAAAAAATTTCTGCCTTTTATTTGCTTAACTTAACTACTAAATTTTGTGCTCTTAAAAATAGATCAATATGAATACTTTCTTATTAATGTTGAAATGTTCTTAAGTTTCTATTTTGAAAGTTGGCAGGTCGATATATTTCATAAGGTTTTTTTTTTCTTTTCATTAATTGATAACAATAGTAGTATGGGTTTGACCCACTACTATTTTTAGGAGTTAACACAGCCTCCTAGTTCATTTGAATATGTACTTGTTATAGTTTTATCAAGATCACTGTTTTCTGTTATGTGAATGCTTATTAAATTTTTTTTTTTATCTAATATATAAGCTATGCCTATCCAATGAAATTAAGAAAAAGTTCTCAGATTTATCTTCATTTCTGGAAAATAATTTTTATTTTGTTGCAAATTTTAGTAAAAAATTCATAGTTTTAGAAAAAAATAACATAAATAGAAAATGCATAATTAATATTTTAAAATGTCAGTATATTCACCTTTATTACTAAATTATAGTCAATATTGTTTAATAAAGCATAAAATTTTTAAAAGAAGCTCCCATTTTAAGAATTGTAGAGGATCTTTAATTAATCTAATGATGATGAAAAATATTTTGCCTGAATGTAAAGGTTAAAGAAAATTATGAACTTGATAAGACTTATTAAATTTGTAGCCTATTAAAATATTTTTGCTATGTCTTAAATTTTACTGTTATTTTAAAAATTAAGATTATGATATATTATGCTTATGTTTAAACCTATGTTTTGAAAGATTACTGTGGTTTATTGATTCCTTAAGCTTATAAGCTATACCAAATCTTTCAAAATATGGATTTTATGTGGTAAGTTATGTTTATTAGTATATATATATTAGAGAGAAAATCATTTAACCTTTATTCAAAATTCAGCTCTGTGCAATTTTTGGGGAACTAAGTTTACCCCTCTCCCTTGCATAAAGAAATCTAATGTTACTGAATCTCTCTAATATGTACCGTTTTTACTGAATCTCCCTGAAATGTACTGTTTGTAAAAATGTGCTAATGGTTATTCGGAGTAAGAGCATTTCAGCGACGAAACCGCTACTCGATTATCGCTATTGTGACGTCTTGCCGCTCGCTCGTTTGCTCAAGATTCGCGATGGTCATCTTTGAAGAAAGGATTCCATTAAATGGTGAGTTAAGCTCTTTACTACTTCCTTTCATTATCTTGTAAAAAATTATGACAGTCATGGGTAAGGTGACTTGGTATAAGTGTACTAATATTTTTATTCCCACAAATAGGATAATTGTCAATATCATTGTAAAAATGGCTTATTGTAATGTAAAACTTGTAGATTTGAATGTGTTCTCCAATTTGTAAAGCATGCCCCATGCTGCTGGGAAAATAAAATTTTTGTAAAATAAAATTTTTGTTATTTTCTCCAGTGTTTGTTATTTATTACTTCAGCATATGTACTTGTATATTTCAGGTGTAAAAGAATACGCTTCATGCATTTTAAACTCATAATATTGGTGTTACCAGTTTACTTATATGGGTAGCCATAATTTTAATTAGCAGAATTTTTATTATATTTCACAGGGCGCTTAGTACCTTAAGATGCTAATTTGTATTGTATTTACATAGCTGCAAACACATCTAGTTTTCCTTAAGTGAAAAGTAGTAGCAAGACAAGTGTTCTATTAAACTTTTGAATTATTAATAATAATTATGAAAAAGTTCGACCAAGTTATGATAAATTTTGACTAATTCCAAATATAAGTATATTTTTGGTAATTCTTTTACTCATCTCGAAAGGTCATTCCTGAAAATGGTAAAAGTTGGCAGGTATTTAAATACAAGCAGCTAATTTAAAAAACAAAGATTTTATTGATCTCATCCTATATCGACTATCCATTTAACTTACCTGGTCATAAACAGAAATAGTGCAATTTGTACAGTGTTAGAATTCCAAGAGTATGTTTTTGCAAGTGTTATATGAAGTTCTATTTGTGATTTACTATAAGAGGAATCGTTATGAGCTTTCTGTTAGATTTTGCTTAGTGAAAATTGTATCAAGCACAGAATTTTTGTGATAAATCTAATCGTGCTTTTTTCTTCCAAGAAGGTGATTTATTATTCTAAGGATTAAATTGTTCAATTTAGAAACTAATTTTTAAATTAGGCTATATATAGCTGCTTGAATAAAATTCTATTGCTACTTATTATTTAAGTAGCGAAAAATTAGCCTGGCTCTTCAGTTACATTTTGAAAAATAATTATTACAAACCAAATGGTTAATTTTGCCAACTTAGCAGCAGCAAGCGTATATAAATTTTTTTAACTGAAAGTTAATAAATTATTGAAGTAAGATTTCATTTTAATGAAAAGAGTGACTACAGAAACCCTAATTTTTTATGCTCCTATATTACTTGAAATGTTCTCTTTAAATTATACTTGTAAGAATTATTACCGAGCATCAAAGTAGAACAAAAACAAATTTCTAACGTTAAACAGACATTCATTTGATAAACAGTGCAGTGAATCTTTTCTAGTGTAACCCACTCTAGTTCTTAGGGGTTTCCTCTGTTGACTTCAAAAGTCTTTGACATGATTTTTTGCAAACCTTTTTATTAAGATACCATAACAAGCAAACTTAATAATTTACTGTGATTTTTTTTTTTTTTTTTGTATAAAATTCCTTAGATCTCTTTATGTAATCTTTGACATCTATACTTAAACAAGATTTATTAAAATATTTGAAACTGGAAAATGTATTTATGTGTAAAAGTGATAACTTGGTGAAACTTCATCAAGAAGTAAGTGGCTGTTATATTTCTAGAAGTCTAAATTTATTTCGAAAGGGCTAGACAAAATGCAGACTATACATTTTGCGAGTTCCTTATAAAACCTGCTTTTAATTCTAAAAAGAACTGTCTAGTCAACTATCTATACTCAAAGTTTTTTAATTTTTGATAAGTCCTTAAAATTTTGGACTCCTTGGATTTATTCTTCTGATCTCTGTATGAACCCTGATAAAAAAAATAGCTTTATAAAGTGATGCTTAAAAGAGTCAACTCAGGATATGAATACATTTGGGAACACTTTTTTTTTGTTATGATTTGTCTAGCGAGCTTGAAGAATTTAAAAAAACGTAAGTAAAGTATAGTGGAATATTGTTTTACTGTGAAGTTCGTAATATATTTAGGTAATTCTTATTTAATCTGGTTAACAAGCTTAGTTTTAGTTTAATTATTTATTAAATGCGGAAACTACATTAAAATTTCAAGCATAACAATGTGTTGATTAGACTAAAAATTTGTTCGCTAGTTATTATGGGTTACTTGTACCGTAAACCGGGGCTAGTCTACCCACTTTAGTTTTATTTAATTTATTTGTATTGAAAGTCGGCAAACTTTTAGTTGGTGCTCCGTAAGTATATTATTATTATTACTATTTTCACTTTGGTTAAGTGATAAACTTATCTAAGACTAAGATTACATTAATTTTATATGAAAACAAAAAGAATGTAAGTTTTGCTGTTGTAAACAAAAAGCCAGAATTCGCGGGGCGAGTCTACCCATTCGTATTTAGTTTTAATTAAGTATAAATAATATAATTTAGAACTTTGTTTACATTAAAATTAAGTCATTTTAAATGAATTTGAGTATATTATTTTAATTCTGCATTGATAAATTTATCATTAATTGGCGATCGAAATGGGCTGCAGGTGGCGTAGAGCAGAACTCTTTTTCCTATGGCAACACTTCACATGCTTTCCCCATTAACGTGTGGAAAGTCATAGAGGAAGGAACTACGTTAGTTTCTCTCTTGATTTTCACATAGATTAAAATTTTTTAACTTAAAAAACTATATGGAACTGAAAACTGCATTAAACATAGTTCTAAAGAAAAGTATCATCGAAATTTTAAAAAATATTTTATTAAATAAAAGGGGAAAATATTAAGAAAACGGAAATTATCGTAGTACATTCCTATACAACTGAAAAGAGGAGGAGAGGGAAGGGAGAAGGGCTAAAAGCATGAAACCGGTCTCTCCCCAGATGGCGTATTCGAGTGTTGCGATCGCGAATAAGAAAATTTATAGGTTAAATGTAAAAATAAAATATGTTTATATTACCTATTTTTTCAATTTTTATATTACAAAATTAACTTTTTTTATTTTATTTAATGCAAGATTCCCAATGCATTAAATAAATCACGATTCCCAATGTTTGAATTTCGATTTTGTTAATAATCTTTAATTATTTAATTGTAAATTTATATTAATTTAAATTTATTTTTTTCAACAATAATCAGAAAAAAATGTTACTTTATAATGTTAATGATTATAAAAACAAAATGTGATAATCGATCAAATACTCAATTTGCGTTATTTTATGAATAAAAAAATGCAATATATAATAAAGTTAAGAATTTTACTTCATAAATATCCTATATAGTAACTAAAATAACAATTTAATAGTAAAATTTGATTATTTACAATGTTAACATTCATTTTAGTAGAATGGGTAGACTCGCCCCTTACGAGAGATTTGTCAGCAGTTCTATAAAAATGTACAGTAACAGCATAACTGTTAATATTTTCTAAAATCGACTTCACAGCTTTAAAGAGGGATTAATAGCGATTCCGAAACACCTATTAAAAACCTTTTTTCTTTAATACAGTGCACTCCCGATTATCCGGGTTAATCCGAAAACTCCTTTTATTAAAGAAAAATTCAATATCAGTACAAAAAATATAAAAATTACTGACATTTGCATGCATAACATCAAACTAGGAATTTTCCTTATTAAAAAATGTGTAATGCGTCTTCGCCATATATCGACACACATATTTTACGAACCGCATTAATGTCACCGTAATCAAATCCTCCCATATAATCTAATTAAAGTTTCCACAGAGCAGCAGAATGAGAAAGTGTATTTCATTCATTTACTACATCTTCTGCATCAGTTACTATCATCACTATTTGATTTTACAACATAACGATGTCTTCATCAGTCAAATACTGGAAGCCAGACTCACATGCATCACTTTGAAACCAATCTTCTAAATTTTCTTCATCAAGAATTTCGAAACCTTAGATTTCTTTTGCTTGTTCGTCTGAACATCTGTTTCTTGAACATCTGAAGAAGATTGTTCATCAAGCGGTATGATCTTTCTCCAAGATCGTGATAACGTATACGATTTTAATTTTGACCAGGCTGCTGATATTCCATATACTTCAATCCAATAACGAATATTGCTTCCAAAAATTGGGTAGTGTTATAACTTCATGAATCAAATTTTTTTAATCCTGAAAATGTTTCTCTTTATATTTTTTGTGTGACTCCGGAATGAGCACGGATAATCGAGAGTGTACTGTATTTACAAAAGTTTGACCACTTGAAAGTTGACAAACTGAAAAAATGGGTAGACTCGCCCCGGTTTACGGTATCCCATCTGAGACAAGTTTTGCTGCATTCATACAAATACTTGATCTTGCCTAATTTGTGGTGGGGATATTAGTTTTGCCACTAAAATTTTTCTTCTTCTAATGACAGTTTTAATTGAAATTCACACATCACATTTAAATAAAGTCACGTAAATGTTGTGACAAGCTTTAAAAAAAAAAAAAAAATTAAAAACTAATACGAGTAAATTGATGTATTGCCCAAATTGGGATTAATATAATAATCTGAATCTGTAATAGCTTGCTGTTTTTGTTCTCAGTTTCACATGCTTTCCAAAAATTAATCTTATTGTATTCAGATATAGATTCGAATTTTCATTTTGCATTAAATATAAACATATTAATTGCTTCTCTAAGCATCCATCATAGGAACAAAGCTGCTTCTTTTCAACTGTACTTTCTGAGATGAATTTACATCGGTTAATTCAATTTTGTTACCCCAAATATATCAGAATCTAACAAGATCATGTCATTACATAATCCATTGAAACATAGTCTAAAAAGAAATAGATTCTGGAAGCAATTAGATCAGTCATAGTCATGTCAAAGATACGGCCCGCGATCGCGATGTGTCACAGAAAGAAGAATCGTGTTTTTTAGAGCTTTAGACTCGATTCCTCTACGGAAGTTTTAAAATGTGCACACTACATTTATTAGTAATTTCTAGGGCAGCGCGTGCCTAGACAAGCGAGAGAGTTAGACAGTAATGCCGTTTCTTAGCAACAAGCGGAATCTTCGACTGGAATATACTTAGCAGCATAACTACGGATGGCGCTCCTCCCATGGCTGGCAAACATTCGGGAGTTGGAACTAAATTAAAACAGAAAACATCAGAGGGAATTTTGTGGAATTTCCCTGTATAATTCATCAGGAATCATTGGCATCCAAACAATTAAAAATGGACCATGTCATGCAACCTGTAATTAAAATAGTAAATTTTATAAGGAGCAGAGGACTAAATCACCGA